GCAAAAATTGTCAATTATTTTTATTTTACTACAACTTTCTAAAATTAAAACCTTTTTAACGCACTTAATTGTATAAAAACGAACTAAACTATAATGTGATTTGTGAAATTGATTGTCAAGGAAAAGTAATCTACACAATTATTTTTAATTGTTTTTTATTACATGTTTTTTTTTGTATAATTAAACAGTCCCAAGTAAAAATTGACCTACTAGTATAAAAACGTTTTAAGATATTGATCATATCACTGTCAAATAACAATTTATACTGAACCTATTATACTGGGACTCGTATATACTGAGTTTATTTTAAATATTATACTTTTAAATTTAGAGGTTATATTAATAATTTCTGAGACTGATAAGGTTTTAACTTAATTAATTTTGAAAATAATAGTTCAATACTTTAAAAACAATATTTATCAAAAATATTATCTTTTAAACTAAGTTTTGTATTAATTATCAATTTTATAACTTAAAGATTTAAATATTTTCTGTGCCATTTATAAGCCTTATATAACTCATAAATTATTTCACCTACAAAAATAGTAACTCCACTTTTTATGTCAGCTGTACAGTGAAAAATAAATTTTTATTTTTACTCATAAACATGACGGCGGTAGTGCCGGTAACCTGGTCGGAGGTGGTTAGGCGCAAGTACCTTAACACGGTGGCGGAATCTCGCCTTAACTCCGGGCTTCCCAAATCCGCGCGGAGATCCACGTTTAAGGCGAAGGCCCCTGGTACCGAGTCGATTATTATTGGTCCCCCGAAAGCGGGCCAAAAGTATTCGGAGGTTATGAAAAGAGTCATGGATGCCGTTGACCTCCAGGCGTTGGGCGTCGTGGTCTCCGGTATCCGAAGAACAAATACGGTTGCCGTACTCCTCGAAGTTCGAGGAACAGGGGATAAGGCGGTTCATCCTCGAGATCAGGGAGGCGCTGGACGGCATGGATGTCCGTGTCAGTCATGCTGTTGGACGTGGAGGAGTGGATGGTGGAAGAGGACGTCGTTGAAGCGTTGACCATAATCCTCTCGAAGGACGGAGCCGCTGCGTCTGCCGGTTCAGCGTCAGTCCGGCTGCACGGTAGTGGCAAGGGCTGCTACGCGTAGTGTGAGGTGCCTCGAGAGAGGGTACGTGCAGATGGTTTGTAGCGATCTTAACCGGACCGGTGCGTGTTTCTCGTACAGGACAGAGATCCACCGGACCAGGGACTTCTCCGGAAGATGGGAGGGCCGGAGAATCCTACTTGAGGTATCTCTTGTCCTCTTACTTCTTGTGTGTTTTTTTGTGAATTTTATCCCAACTCACAGCAAAGACCTCCAACTCCATGTGTTGCGACCTGGGCAGCGGTTCTCACTCTGAGATCCGGCTAACGGGGGAGGCCACGTCTTGTTGTGACTCAGCTCTTGATTAATTTTGGGCTGAGTCACAACCCGGCGGTGTGAGTTTTAACGCGACGTTGGGCTTCCTGAAGCAATACCTCACGGTAGTTCCAGCGCGTTCAACACCATGTCAACCGTGAAAATAAAAAAAAAAGACTCATAAACTTTTTGGGGGTTAATTCCTCCTGGTTATTCAATATTTTACAAAAATAGAAACTTAATATTTTTATTGATTAAAAAATGAACTTGTATTATATTTTAACTTTATATAACTTAAGTAGTCTCCACAGATTTCATTTTATTTTTAGAAATACCAAATTTTGTTATTAAAGTTTAAGCTCCTGACATTCTTTCAGCCAAATGACGAGGTACTTTTTTTTTTATTTTAAGGAGAAAACTTAATAGTGGTATAATATTTTATATTCATGTAAGTTAATAATTGATATATGTGCTTGTTTTTATGCACATTAATACAAACTTATCCACATACAAACAAATCTATTTTATAGAAGGACGACTTTTATATCATGTTGTGCCAAAAAACTTTTTCTAATAATTTAATTGAACAATGACATATGGCGTCTTTTCCAAAAAAGTGACATTACTTCCGAAATTGCATATCGTCTACGTATTTTTTGTTACTTTATTACTAATAATGATTATATACATATATATATATATTTTATAAGATATTTTTAAACATTATCCCAACTTATAAAATGAATTGTTTCTCAAACTTACTATCACTTTGTCAGATATTTTTTTCACGGCCTTTATTATAGACGCTATCATAAAAAACCATATTTAAGCGATCCTGAACAATTAGTACGCATTCGTCCTAGGTTGAAAACACTATTTTGTAAAATGTAATTCCGCTTTAATTTCTCTACCTTACTTTCATAAATGTATCCAAAGAAAAAAACACGCCATCTATAATGGTATTTGATTATTTTTGACGAACAAAAGCATCTTCTAAACAAAATTAATGAGGCTACATAACTATATTAAATCAAGTTTTCTGAGAAAAATTTTCCTATTAATCGTCCAATTTCCTATTACTTTTTATCAAAATCATTCGATTTTTTATTTCTTGATCGAATCAAATTTATAATTTTGTTATACAAAATTGAAAAAATAGATTCATTCTAGCTTAATATTCCAATTTTGAAATTGCATGTCCTTTCTATCATCCTAAAAAAATTGACCTAATAACTTCAGAATCGCCAAATCATTTTTATATATGGAAAATATTTTTATCTTTACTTCTTTCATAGCAAATATTTTTGCTGTATGCACTTACAATGATTCAAGTAAACATTCGGAGATCGTCCAGAAGATTAATTCGCCTCTCAAATCGCCATCGTCAATTTAATAAGCAAATTATTTATTCTAGACGATCTCCTTAAAATGACACCTTCCGTGTAATCATTTTTCGACCGGAAATCACTAATTTTATTCGTCTTTGTTAAAAGGATGTGTGTAATATACTGAATTAGGAGTAAATATGTATAATATTTATAATATCACTGTGTTATATTTTTTTTTCTTTTTTGTTAAGATAACTTTATTAAAATTAATCATATACAGATTGTTCAAAAAGTAAGAAAACCGGTAAATTATTAGAAATAATGAGAACAATTCAAATCCGTTTCCTTACTTGTTGAACACTCTGTATGTGTGGTATTTTTTCACGCTCTTTTTTCAAGTAAATATACAGAATGGTTCATGAAGTTTTGACAATTTAATAACTTTTAATGTACTAAATATTTAATAGTTATTGTATTCTTAAACAATTTTAAAATCATATTTTTTACTATTTATTTTTAATAAAAAAAATTGTGTTATTTATTTTAAATTTCAATATAGCCGTTATTTATAGCATTTCTAAAGAATGATTTTAAAAAATTGTGTATAATAATTAGTAACTTATCATACATTATTACATAGTTTAATAAAATATTAGCTTGACTCAATGAAAGAGACATGTGTCCCTGTGCTCCTTTGAAATAGCATCAAACTGAATGGCATCGTCTTTCCGTCAGTCATGATAATAACCAACATTCAATAAATAATTTACTCAAATATTTTACACACGCAATGAAAATATTCAACGAAAACATGTACAATAATTTTCCAACTAATACACCCAAAGAAAAACCTCAATCAATTTTGATAGAGAAATTTTATCNTGCACCCAAAGAAAAACCTCAATCAAAATTGAAAGAGAAATTTTATCAAGGGTTTATGATAATGTTTTATTAATACGAACAAAATAACTATTCTTATAAATAATTATTGTTCAAGACAAGAAAAAAAAATATCATATTGATAAATATATCATAGGTTCAATAGTAATGATATATTTATCAAATTGAACAATGAATTTATTATATAGATCGAGGTTTTTCTCTGGGTGTACGTTATAGCTATTTCGTTATTGAATGAAACAAAATTTAACAGTAATGTTGAATATTTTGGTAAACTCATTAAAAATTATATTAGTTATTATACACACATTTGTGAAACCAAAGAGGATTAGTAAACCCTTTTTAATTTAATAGAAATAAAAAAATGATGGTGATAGTTATATATAAATTCCATTGCAATGTTACGTATCAACAACGTAACTGTTTCCTTCGTTATCAATGACGTTTACTTTAATTTTTATTTAATACATATTCGAGTTTAATTAGATCAGCAGCACTATTTTTCTTTGAGATATATCGGTGAAATTTCTCACTTAATCGGTAATTAAACGGATATCGAGGTTAAGTGCGGAAATTTTAAACGGTTATATTCCGGTTGTAAATTTATAATGTAGCACCTCTTGATATGTCATATAACCTAAAGGAAATATGAATAATTTAAAACAAACAGATAATGTAATATAGCCAACAACATAAAAAAAAGTATTTTGGTTAAGAATATTTTCATTAGATTTCAAATTAAAAAAAAAAAAATATATCGCGTATTTGAATTAAAAAAAAATGTATTAAGACAATTATGATTTTCCTATCATAAATCACCAGCGTTTTAAATTGAAATTTAAGTATTTCAATATTTTTACATTTAAGTCGTAGATGTCAGCTTAATATATTCACCACAAGTTTTAGTTCGCGCGTAACTTCATTAATTATTAACAAAATATAGATATTCAATACTATTCAATAATTGACAATATTTTTTTTTCAAATCTCTTATTAATAAAAATTCGAGTTAGTCACAATATCAATTAAACCAATGGTTCGGACTTTTATTATCTACTTAGGTCTCTTTAGAATCAACATTACGAAAACAAATTTTAGTTCTATTTTACATTTTTGTAAAAACAATTTCGTTAATAATCAATAAATGGCATGCAATTATAGTAGAAATACCAAAAAAGGGATATTTTGGCCATTTCCAAACGTTTAAATCTAATCCCTCTTAAAGAATATGCACAAACGTGAAAAAAATCATCTGATCGTTTTTGATGCGTTAGAACAATGCAATTTCTTTTCCATTTTAAACAATGAGTATTATTATGTAAATTAACTATTGATATATGTGTAAGGGCATCATAACATTGACTCTTACATCTAACCAATCGAACAAATTTTAGGTGTCTTGGAACTAACCTCGGATGAAACGTGAACAGATGAATAACACGGTCATCAGCAGTCCGGCGGAGGTGTTCATGTTTTCGCTGATGCCTTGTTCTGTCGTAGTGCGGTCGTTGTTTCACGTTGCATTTTTCTTCACGCTTCCAGTGATACGCACCACCTCATCGTCCGCACTACAACCGTTCACTCATCGTATACCGGCCATCGAACGAAACCGGACAGCGACACTGATCGCGAAGAACCAGAACCGACGGCATAGTGCGATAAGTGAATCTCTCGGTTTTCGTTTGCTCTCCAAGCAGGGCGGGTTAAAAACGGTTTTCTAAGCAAATATAACTCGACAAAACTGAATCGGATTCCTGTAATTGATACACGGTAACTGTTAATTTATTACTAACACTTGGCGTTGAACTCGTACGGCTTAAATTTATTGTAAAAACGAAAATCTAGTGGAGGTGCTGATGAAAAAATATTATACTATGATATTGTCCGGGTACACGATAATACGGCGGTAGCTCACAACACAAACCACAGACACCCCGATGTGTGTGCGCGCTCGTACAATGTTTTTGGCGTGCGGGCGTATGCGTTTGAGTGTATATGCGCGAAGTTAGAAGAGAAGATAGCGCGGCACGCCGGTAACCGGTACGGCCGATTGAGTGCTTGTAGGGCGCGGCGTTCGGGGCATGCGAAACGGCCGACGGAGTTCCAATATCGACCGGCAGCACTACCACCGCTACCGTGGAGAGTAACGCTCAGATGTACGCAGAGTAACCTCTCCTCTTCTGTTCTACGTGGTGCGCATCCCTTTCACTATCGGTCCAGTAAATCCTACGCCTTAATATGAAACGACGAGAGAAGAACAGCGAGGCCGATTAATCGAATCAACATTTATGTCCTGTACGATTCGAACATGACGCGTTTGTAGTCATTACGATCTAGATTTGGCATATGAATGGAATGAAGTAGTTCAACCCACACGTACACCTATAAATTTTCACGAACCCCTCCCAAACTAATTATCACTCCTTAATATTAAGACAGATGGCGACGCCACGAATGTGTTAGATACTTAAAATCGTACAACTGTTGTACGATTTTCTGCAGAATTTTCAAACAATTGCAACTCTTTTTGAAAGGGACCGAATAGTTTAAAAGTGCGACTTCTTTTTTTATCAGACCTTTAAATTAGATTAAGTTAAACTTGATACAATATTAATAACTAACATAAAATCAAATTCTATTACCGATATTAAATTTTACATAATTTACTGTTAAGTTGGATTTGTTTGCATTTTTTAATAAAAATAAATATTTAACAAAATTTGTAATATTTACGCAGAAGAGTTAAAAATTAATTTTAATACGCCGGATATCGAATAGTTTCCGAATATTCGGTCCATCTCTATTAACAATGTCGATCCACGATTTTTTAAATTTTACTTTTATGTTAAATTATAAGGATGTAGAAATAATATATCTATATCCCGGAAGTAAAAAACTAATAACAATACAATTTTTATAATAATAAAAATTGTATTTTTTGATACATTTTATAGTTTTATTCTTTTAATTAGGTGGGACTAGTGCTATTTTATAACAACATTTTTGGGGGTGCTAAATTAATTTCCTTTTTAAAATATTTTTATGTACTCAATAAATATCACCATCATCATCTATTAATGCAATGCCTTGTCGTTGAAGCCACTCCTCTGTGTTTGACGCCAAATTATTCAGTGAAACAAAAGACGCACAGATCATGAGTTCCAAAATATTTTCAAAATATTGATTCTTCCCAGTTTTTTTCCTTCCAAGATATTGATTCTTAAATCATTGTGTCGGTTGATGAGTCCGATTAACTTTATTTTTTTGATTCAATCACCTTTATTAGCTATATTTTTTCTCGTACTTCTTCTTGCTCATTTTTTTTCTTATCCATCCATTTTGTCATTTTTCTCCATATCCATAACTCTAATGCTTCTGTCTTTCATGTCAATTGTCCACGTTTCACTGCCATATAAAAGCACACTCCAGGCAAATGTTTTGACGAATCTTTTACGTATGCCAATACTCAGATGTTTATTGGGAGAAGCTTATTCTTGTTTTGGAATGCTTGCTTTGCCAATGCTATTCTTCTTCTGATGTCTAGTGTTCATTTGTTATTGGAAGCTATGATACTTCCAAGGTAGCAGCAAATATAACTATCTAAAATTTGTTACTACTTCAATTGGGGAGAGCTAAGCCAAATGTGCCTAAACCAAAATAGCATGTGTCATGTTATCCTAAATGAAAACATTTTATTAAACTATACGATTGAATATAATATTTCACGAATAACTAAATAAATATCAAGTCAAGATAGTCGATTAAGGAAAAATAACTAAAGTAATATATTAAGTACAAATCAATCGTCAATATTTACGGACGGCTGAGCAATAGCTTTCATTGGTCTCGTTTAATCTATTTATAAAATTACCTCCCAACTTCAGCACCAGTTTACATTTTTTTCGCAATAAAATTAACATATACCGATAAAATTTGATTGGTTACATAAATATTTTTATTTAATTAGAAAAATTATACTACATAAATATTAACACAGTCTGCAAAAATATGATAAAACTAAAACCAAACATAATTGCATAAAAGTACTCGCCAACTATCAAATTAGGTTTTTTTTAGACAATTTTTTGACTTTTGTTATTTCTGTCGAGATCTTTTTCTGATAAGTTTAGAACATATCTTTCTAAAATATACAGAATGATCTATTTATTATACACCACTCGATTACTCCCAAAATAAATACAATGTTTAAAAAAATATGTACGATTTTTTGGAATAATTACTTTTTAGAATCAACCTTTATAACTTAAAGAGATGGCAACATACATATTTGACTTGTTCATGCAATAAAAAATAATCTAACTAAGAAAATAACTGGTCGATAACAATTTTTAGACCAGTACTTAGGAAGTTATTCTAATTTTTATACCTAGGTGGGATGTAGACTAGGGTCAGGAAATGAAGTAATAAAAGTAGTATCACCCTCTCCTCTCTCTACCTCCCACTTGATCATGTGCTTCACCACTCATTACTTTAAATTATTAATAACTTCTAAAATACTAGTTCTTAAGTTTTTAAACTTAAAAACTTAATAAATATGTATGTTGTCATTTGAAAAATAAAGTTAACACCCCTTTATGCTATAATGGAAGATTCTAAAAAGTAATTGTTAGATGATAACTCAAAAAACGTAAACAACTAAAAGATATCAAACATTTTTTTTTCAATATTGTGTTTATTTCGAGTTATCATATGGTCTATGATAAAATAATCACTCTGTACAAATATAACAAAAGGTCATTATAATATTTATTTTAAAAACCAATTAGCGATCTGAGAACATTTTTCTAGAGGGGATAGAGGGTACTGATTTCAGTGTATTTTTCATATCAGAACTTTTTTTTTATGAAAGCCCCTTATAAAATTGAAAATTAACATAAAATGACACGTTTTTATCTTTATAAAAATACTTTTTTTTAATCTTCAGTTTAAAATACCTAAAAAATTAGACCATATATATTATTTTGAAATAAGGGATATGTTTGTTAACTAATGACTTTAATAATATTGAATGAATTTAAATTTATATTATGATCAAACAAATATAACCAGTATTTTGATAAGATATAAAATCTATTTCAATAATGAAAAAAATACAATTGAAAAATTATAGATAATATTTACATCTAAAAAATTATTTTATACATAGATAGGTATTTTTTCAAGAAGTATCATAGTCACTAGATTCATTTGATTCATCTTCCAGCACACTATTATAAAAATAATTTTCTTCAGCTTTTACTCGAGCTTTATATCTTGCATAACGATAATCATAATCTCCACTAATATTTTCTTCATCTTCTAATTCACTACTACTACTACCTAGACATTTAGTTACAAAATTGAATTATAATTGTAATAATCAAAGAATAACAGTTGTCTTACTATTTATATTTAAATGTTTTGATCGAGTAATCAAGTTTTCATAATCTTCATCACTACAAAATTAAAAATTTATATTAATTCTAAAATCTTTAATATTATGTGTTTTCAGTAACTAATCTTACAAATTTAAAATTATTACATAGTAATAATTTATTCCAGAGTAATTACTAAATTGTATACAATAATTTAAAAAAATTAAATAAATGTATACCTATTTTCAAATTCGTCTTCATCTGGATAATCATTTCGCCAATTACATTCATCATTGGAATCATCATCATCTTCACAGGGTGATGAAGCATCATCATTTTCAATATTATCACAGATAGAATAAAACTTATCTGAATCTAATCCATGTACACTAAACAATTAAAAAAATGTATTTAAAAAATTAAACTTATTATTATAACTTTTTTATGTTCAAAATAATCCAAAAGCTATTGCTTATACCAGAGAGAATGAAAAAACATCATTAATTATAATATTCCAAGTATAATAAATAATTAAACTATTTAACTTTTTCCAAAAACGAAAAAGGAAATTAGCAATTTAAATGGTTATATTCAACTTCAAAATTACTTTTAAATTTTTTTTTTTTATTATTTAGTCTGATCAAAGTTAGATTATTGGCATTAATCTGGCCAAAAATTTGGGCTTTGTTATGATTTTGAGGTTATGTAAAATAATTTTTTAAGGTACATTGCTAATTTAATTTAAAAATTAAGAATCCTATTTTTAAATCCCTTAATTTTAAAACCTTAGTTAATAGACTTGGTTATTCTCTCAATTTTTATGAAAAATTATACCAAGGTCTATTGATTATCTTGTTATATTAACTTTAAATAAATTTTACAACAATTATTACCATACTATAAGCAAACATATTTTTTACATACATGATTATTTATTATTAAAATTTGCTATTACTGTTACTAATAATTTTATATTATCATTGTTTAATCAATTTATTATAATTTTCATATTTCCAAAACATAAGCGGAAGTATGAACTAAATTTACTTTTTGGTTAAATATACATATTTAACAAAAATATAAGAATACAACTTGTTTTAAAGATAATGTTTTTTTTATCATATAAATTTAATATAAGTTCTTTAGGAAATATTAAAATATATATATAATTTTAGCACTAAATTATTAAATGAAAAATCATAACGAAAACTATAAAATACTTGTATTTTACACAAAAGTTTTTCTATAAAACTATATATTAGCTAGAATAAACATTATAAACTGAGTATGCAAACATTGTTTTTATTAACAAAAGTTAAATGAATTATTAACGGTAGCCCATGGTAAATTACACCTATGGCAAGTCCGCCCTTACATTAGTTATCAATATTAATTATTTTACAAGTTATATAACTTAAGATTTTTAGCTCTTAATTCACATAAAACAGTAGTTCTTAGATAGTTAAATCATTAATGGGTTAACAAGTTTACTTGTAATTAATTTTTTTTATTTAATTCCAATAAATTTATATACACAAATTATTTACCAGTCTATATCTTGAATATCAATGTTTTTTTCATTATTATCTGTAGTATAATATAAGTCATAGACGTAGTCAACTGATATTCCTTCATCAATGGATGGTCTAACTTCTTCATTTGCAATAATATCAACAACTTTAATTTCTGTATTTTCTTCATTTAAAGCATGGATAGGTATAGTGTCTTGATTAACAGCTCTTAGATTGCTAACTACCTAGAGTAAAAAAAATACAAATTAACATATGAAAAATAAATATTATTACTATATATTTATAATAACTTAGCCTTACGTTTTTATTTAAATACATATATTTATATACAATTTACTTTTAAATTACAAATGTATTTAAAAAATTGAATTTGTTATTCAATGTTTGTAACAAATAATACATACTTTAGAGCGTTCAGACTTGGAACGTGAAATTATGGTTTTTGAAAATTCATTTTTTTTAAATTTGGTTAAATCTTTCACTGATTTTCCATCGCGTGCATTTTTCAATATTTGAGAAATATTTTCATTCTGTAAAAATTCAATTGTTATATAAAATTTTATCTTATAATATACTGTACTTTAATATTCTGAAGTTTTATATGCTAATGAGTTAAAAGTAATAACAATTGACTAAACTAATGTATGGTCATTAAAAAACATATAAATTAAGAATCCAATACATAAATACTAAATTACTAAGTACCAACATCATAAAATATAACACCAATAGCCTAATTGATCATGGAACACAAAGAGAGTATAGTAGGCAAAAGCCTAAAACTCAAAAAGTGTATGTGCAGCCACTCAAAGCAAAGTAAGCAAATACTAAATTAATCATTTTTTTGGAACTTACTGTATCTTTTATAGTACCAGCAAATTTAAACACACAATCATATGTAGAACAATTACCGACTATTTTGAGTTTTTTATGGGAAATTACAACAGAATTAAAAGGATCTTCATCGTGACGCCTTTTAACACGAACTATAGACATTTTAAGAATATTAAAAAAATAAGCACGTGATAACAATGGTCTTGTTTAAAATGTATTTATACCTAAGAAGACTACAATTTTCTTAAATATAAAATATAGCTTAATAACATCTTAGAAGTGATTCTATGAAAACCGCTTAATTGTAACTATCCAATAAGAATCAGTTACCCGCGTGTGCGATATCGCAAGATTTTATCAGCATTGAAGAAAGATAAGTGTCATACGATAAGCGCTGATAAACACAAACAATCAAAATTTTCAAACTATGATTTATAATTGGTTTTTTGACTAAATTTAAATTACTTTACTTCGAGAACGTAATAATTTCGGTATTATTTTATTCTTAAATTATGCTTAATTAAATAAAAAAGTAAGACCACTTAAATATCATATATCAATAAATTAATTTTGGCTTCATTCAGTAACTCATTACTAAAACTATTTATTCGAATCTTACTTTTCTCCCTTATTTTTTTTAAAAGTATTTTATTCTTTGATAGTTCAAATATTTATATTTTACCCATTAAAAAGAAAAAAATTCTCATTTTAATTATATCTTGTATTTTAAATTATTTGATTTTACACGTCGCCTTTATTAGCTAATCACTTAATGCCGTTTTAACTATTATTTAAGAGACGTAAAAAACTTCTCATGATTATATGTGATCTAAGTTAATTCAATAATTAATTTCATTAAGAATTAATGTATGATTACCCTGAAAGTGATTTCAAATTAAATACTACACTACTATTTTTAAAAATACATTGTAATTGCATTTATAGAATTAAGTGATTAGGAAAAGAGGCTGAAGATGAGTGAGAATGCAAATGAGATACATAGTTTTTTGTTGTATCACTTTAAGAAGGTAATTAACCTTTATTTCTTTTCAGAAAATGGATATTTCTCTAAAATTTGAACAATTACCTTTTAAATCTGAACACTTGTTAACTAATTCAAAATATACACATGTCCATGATAATGATGAATCATATTTTATCTCGTGGAATGACTGTGACACGTTAATTTACCCTTTAAACATAGAAACTAATATGTCAATATTTGAACTTTCAGAGTTTGTGGTGAGATAAAGTTATTTATATATTTTTTTCATTAAGTAGGTTATTTAAAATCTTATTAATTTTTCTAATAATATGCCACTCATTTCACTACAGTTCTTCTTCTTCCTCGCCTTAATCCCAACTACTTAGGGTCGGCCACCCTTATCTTAAACTTCCACTTGAAACGATCTCCCACATCAGCTGTCCTCAAATCGCATTCAATAGCATCCCTCCATCTCTTTTTTGGTCTTCCTCTATCTCTTCTTCCTTCAACATTCATTTCTATAACTGTTCTTACAGCTCATTTCACTTCAGTTATTAAATTAAACTAAAAAATATAGATATATAGTAATAAATTATAATAATTATTTCATTATTATATAAAAATATAACAATTAAATTAATTTAAAATTAAAATAATTTCATTGTATAGTATTATTTAAGTCTTTATTATCTTTAGGCATATTTAAGGTGAAATTCACGAGTTAAAACCCCTCCCATGAAGGAACGGCTTAAAAATATTAAATTTTAATATAATAAAAAAAATTATATTTTGTATTAGAATGGATCGAGGTAAATTAAAATTTTATGGGTTCCCTTGTAACTAGATACCTTTAGTTTGAAATTTTTAAGTTGTATTTTTCTTTTACAGTTCTCAAACTAGGTGCTTATTCCATCCAAAACTTAAAAAACTATATTTATTATTAAATAAAAATTTATTTTAAGGTAAAAAGAAAATAGATGAGCCACTTCAACATTTTTATGTATTTACATCAATATTTTGAACAAAAAGCTCATGATCAATAATAATTATATATTAAAAATATCATTAATCTTATGCCCTTTTTTATTGTTGATTAATAATTGGTGATATAAAAATAAGAATTTTAATTTAATTATAACATATTTATTCATAGGTACCCTATGATTCATTAAAATATTATTTATAATAAATATTATATTATAATAACACAATCAAAAGTTTTCATTACACTAATGTCATGCAATCATATACTAATGATAAATTTTAGGTATTATCATTGTGCTGTTCTATTGCTGCAGTTGTAACTTATAAAACAAAGGCTTATTGCATAGATCAAAATGGAACTGTCTTTAGTCTAAAAAAAATTCACAGGTTTACTTTTAATAATTAATTTAATTTGTTCATATTTTGTACAATTTTTTTTTTTTTTAATAGTGATTCACCAGATTTATTTGATTATTCTGTAAATTTTCAAGCTTCTCAAGATCTATCACCAATATCTTTTAAATGGGTTAATATTTTTGCACAATCGTGTGATTGTAAAGTTCTGTCTTCATCTAGTTATTCTGATGGAATTGCTTTAATTATGGAATTTGATGGCTGGATAGTATTACAATTATTAAAAATAAACATTGATAATGAAAATGTATCCACAATTTGTAATGCAACTATAAAACAGATTTTACCATTAATCAAAGCTGTACTATGCCTTGTATCTTATATACTTTACCTTTGATTATGATTATAATGTCAATTTTTTTTGTCTAGAATTTATATGAAATCAATTATTTTGGATCATTTATTTGGAAAGATTATTTTAGTAGAGAAAATTTACAAGCATTTTTAAAATCAAATAAATTAAGTTTTAAAGATATTTTCTTCTTGGCCTTAAATAATTACAAGGTATATCTTTTTACTTCAGACACTAAAGATAAAAAAATTTTGGATTTTTTCAATTTTCCACAAAAAATAATTCATATACAGTTTATTGGCTCAGGTAATATACAGGTTACATTTCATGTTAGGATAATAATTTTAAAAAAAATTCATTAAACCAGAATAATCCTTTTTAGAATCAAAGAAACTTTTATGCGTATCGGAAAATGGGATTCTAATATTAATAAATTGCAATAGAGATTTGACTCCTTCATATATATATCTTTCTATTGATCGAGTAGAATGTCTTTTATTTGTTTATAACAATATTCTTTTAAGTGATGGTTTTAATCTTCTTCTATTGACACTAAATGAAGAATTTTCAGGCTTTACAAGAAAAGTAATAACTTCTTTAAAAGGTCATATTGCTATTATTTTTGTAATTCTTCTAAAAAAAATTAGAATAAATTGAAGTTATCTTATAATTTCAGGAGTTTTATCACTGAATAAATTAAAAAATTGTGTAATTGCCACTACTCGGCTTAATCAAATTTACAAATTGTCACCAATTAATCAAAAAATAACTGAAAACAAAGAACAAAAATATGATTTAAAACTTGATGATATATTAACAGACATAAAAAAAGTTTGTGAAAATTGTGAAATATTAGAATCTCAAAATAACAAAATAAATTTGTACATAAATGCAATTTCGTTAGTAGCTAGAAAAAAGTTAATTGTAAAAGAAATATCGGTTAATCTTTTGATTTACTCAGGTGAATAAGTTTATTTTAATTAATTTATTTTAATGATTGAATTTTTTTTTCTATAGGTCATAAAGCTGTAAAATTAGGTGGTTGTGAAAATGATTATGTTTTTATGATTAAAATATCAACTATTTCTAAATGGTTATTTATTTCATCAGCAGTTTGGAAAATGTTTGTACGCGTTACAGATAATAAAAACTATTCTTCTTACAATAGAATTTACAAAATTGAAACTAATTTTTTCAATTGTAATCAAGCGCTAGTTTTTAAACATTTTTTACCTAGGGAAGTAGCTGAAAATTGTGTAAATGGCACAGTTATTTGCGAATTTGTTTGTGAATTACCTAAGATTCTTGGATTTGATTGTCACTGTTTATTTATAAAATTAAATCCAATTCAATTAAATGCTTTATATTTTGTTAAAGTTGAAAGACCATGTAGAATACCATTTATCAATCCTATTTTAGATCATTTTAAATATACGTTTAAATATCCACAGCAAATATCTTTACCAGATTGTTTAAAAATAATTATGAATAAAAATAGGCATAGAATGACTAAATCATTTTATAATAATATAACTGGTAAGTAATTGGATATCACAAAATGATCAAAATCGAATAAAACCAATTGAGCCGTTCGCTGCAATAATGACCTAAGTGACAAATCATAGTTTTGAGAAAACAAGGTTTAAAGATTTAAAAGTGTATTATTTTAAGGAGAAGGACGAGAATTAGAAAACTAAGTTTTTCAAATGTAAGTAGCAGTATCATATAATGAAAATTTATGTTCAAAGAACTAAAATTTTAATGTTTTAATTATTAAATAACCGTTTAATTATTAAATCACTTAGGTCGTTTTTCAGGCGAACGACTAAAAGTTATTGATTTTTTCAAATAATCAGTCATAAAATTATATTAATTATAATTATTATTCACTTTTTATGAGGTATAAGGAACCAATGATCTTTAACTAAGGCCCAAACTTCATCAGGTATTTTTTTAGGATTCGGCAGTTTGCCACGATTTTCTGTAGCTTGGGAAACGCCTTGTTTACAAAACCTTAATACGGTCTTCATTCTGCCATCGCTGATTTGATATAAACTAATAAGTAACTCTTTACACACATTTATATCTTTTCCATGTAATTTTAAACTGTACTTCCACGAACACTCTCGGTTTTTTGTTACGGGAGCCAGTTTATGACGTTTAACTCCTTCACGATGTGCACAACTCATTAAATAAGTATCCTGTTTTTCTTTATCTTGTGAAACATAAAAATTTCTAAAAAACTCTTTTTGGGAATCTCTATTAAAATTTGAAAAACATTGGGCCCGACAACAATGTTCTATCTTTCTAAACTGTTTGCGAGATACATCATTTCCAGCTATATTTTTATACGCTTTGCCGCTGTTACGTTTATCTTTTCTTTTGTTACAAGCCCATTTTCCTCTTTTTAACCCCGGATTGTCACTAGCCATGGAAGTTGAAGTTGTTGATGTTGATACATCCATAGCTGTTATTCTTCAAGTGGATAATATTAAACAATAGTTATTTATAAAAGCCTCTGTATACTAACGCACTATGCTAATCAGCTGTTACACGGGAATGCAACTGTGAATTGGCGCAGCGCTTTCATTTACGCGCCTATATTCATTTGTTCACCACGGCCTCAATAATTGATATTTTTTTATAAAATTTGGTAGGGGTACTTATGAATAGTTTATCTACCCGTTTCCAGTGTCGCCCGAAAAACGACCTAAGTGACCTTAGGTCATTATTGCAGCGAACGGCTCAATTACTAAATAATGCAAAAATTATTTTAGAAAATTTAATAAAATAATTCTTAAATATACACTTTTTTTATCAGAAATTTAATACCAAATTTTAACTGAACTCTTAATATTAGCGACTACATAATTAAGTTGCCTGATTGCCTATTTAATTAAACTAAAGTACATTATTTGTTTATATTCATTTAATTAAAAAAATTTTAATGTAACCAATTTCGATTATAAAATAATTAGTTTTCAATAATCTTTGTATTACTTATATTTGGATTTTAACTCATTGCTAGTATTAATGACACTTTAAATCTACTTAACAAAATTTTATTTTTTAGAACAACTTATTAAATCATTTAGTTTCAATTTGTTTGATAAAATAGTTTCAATTGTTTTGGATGATAAAACAAGTTCAACCATTTTTTTGGAAAGTCATGATTATTATACTCTAGTATCAGTTCGTAATGGACTGCTAATTGAATTATGTGATCAGCAATCAGTTATTATTAACTATACAGTTTTAGCCAACATTCAGGTAAACTTTTATAAGTTAATTTTTTAGTATATAGATTAATATTAAATTTTTTTAGAAAAATATTTGTCTACTGGAAGAATTGCCATTAAAAGATCAAAATAATTCCAGTGTTATCAACAATATTATATCCAATGTTCAAAAGCAAATAAGTTCCAATTTACCCATATAATTAATTTATTTAATTGTATAATAATAATTTAATTTGTGTATGATATATAACAATTGTACTGAACTTTTTGTATTTATTGTATAAAGTAATATTACGATCTGTTAAAAATAATAAGAATGATTATAAACATACAAATGACATAAAGAACTCGAAAATAATCCAGTAACAGAACTTCAGAATTTTACTCTGCAACTAAAGATCTAAAGTAGGTCTCTAGACTCGTTTCTTTATAATCTATGAGAAATATTTTGAGGAAATGAGTGGAAAGACATGAAGTTAATGTGAGAAATTTAAAAAAGGAACAGTTTTTTGTGAAATTATTGTAGTGATCTTTGACAAGTAAGTGTTACTCGCCAAAAAGTAACAGATATTTTTAAGTTGCTATGAAGAGTAGCATTTGTTATGTACCTATAGAAACCTGTATTAAGTCTAATGATTATAAATTGAATAAGTCCGGATAGTAAAAATATTTGCTGGTTTAGTATTTATATTTCATAAGACAACAGTCTAATTATTGTTTTATACATGAGCATTCTATTTTGTAAGATTAAATTTGATTTTAGTGTGTCGTAACACAGTAAAATGAAACGTAGAAGAAGAGTAGGATGAGGATGTGGTGCCTGTTGTCTAGGTATTCACGTGCGTGTTGTCGTACAGCANGTGGTGCCTGCTGTCTAGGTATTCACGTGCGTGTTGTCGTACAGCAGTCACCGTGCTCGGCTGACACTCTGGGTTAGCTGTGGGTGTCGAAAGGCTGTTGTTATAGGAAGGGAATAAGGGTAACACCTAGGTATGAGGTGCAAACGAAATGCAAGACACAAATACCAGGTGTACGCAAAAGGAGCCCAAAGTAAGAGGTGAAGACGAAGTGCAAGACACAAGTACTTCAGAGAGAGAACGGGGTAGCCGAGTATAAGGTGCAGACGAAGTGCAATACACAAGTACTCTGAAATGTCGAGGAAAAGAGTATATAGGTTAGAAAAGGAATAAACAAAGACTTTACTTTAAACAGTAAGCCGGACAGCGACAACCGAGTACTGAGACTGATGAATGACACAAGGCACTGGAGTCGACTGACCACGATGGTCAGGTCTATTGGGTTTTTATAATAATTAGAACTATTGCCGATTTGGCAATAAATATTATTTGTTAATTCATCAGTCTCAGGCAGCGGATGTGCTGTCTGTATTTTATTAAAATAATTCTCACGATTATGAAAACGTGACACAAACACAAATGTTAGTCAAAGTAAATGAAGATGAGTCTTAAGTTGCTTACATTTTTGTTTTGTATAGTTAGTGTTGGATACACATCGGTCGAATATGCTGTCAAGAAATTGTTTTGTGATTATTCATGTTATCGTTGTGTTACATTGAGTTGTTGTCGGTTTTCTCTCTATGTCAGTATTGTCGTCGCCTTCTTAACGCTTCTTCTGCTATAAGCTCTATGGCATTATGCGAGCCAGTAGTTTTGTTTTTTTTTTTACTGTAAAAGAAAATATCACCTTTGCGATTGTCGTACCCTGTGCGCTCAGTTTATCGCCGTTGGGTCTATATATTTTCTGAGATACATCACAATACCGTTGACAGCATACTATATACATTGGTCAGCTACTTGCATTCGACTTCAATTGATCCTTTTAATATTCAACATTATCATCAACCGTTTCATTTAGCAGATAAGTATAATGCTTGTTCATTTATCTTTCTAAGACTCAATTGTATAATTTATTATTTGTTTATATTATAGCCTTAGTGGCATTAGTATTAAGTGTACCCCCATTCACATTGGTGTTTTTTAAGATTTTATATTTCTCGTATAATACATTTAATTGTTATAATTATATTTTGTAAAATTCATTGTACATTCAAACATACATTCCACTCGCCTTATTCCTTATCCTCGACATAGCTAAAAACTTAAGACAAAACAAATCACGAACGTTAACGAACCCGTGTGAATACCACCGAGCGCTGCGTTCACACATTGGTACTTCGAGCGAGGATAAAGAATAAGGTGAGGAGTGTACTTGGCAATCCAAGTCGAATGCAAGTAGCTGACCAATGTGTACAATATGCTGTCAACGGTATTGTGATGTATCTCAGAAAATATATAGACCCAACGACGATATACTGAGCGCACAGGGTTCGACAATCGCAAAGGTGATATTTTCTTTTACAGTAAAAAAAAACATCACACAAGAATGATGCAGACACCGCATATTATATATATATATACAACTAAAAATGGAAATTTAAGCTAGTTTGAAAATTCAAAGTCATATCTCTTAATTTGGGAGGCAAAATGATTTTATATTTATATTCAATTTAAATTAGATTCATGTAACTATAATAAAACTCGGTGGACTAGTTACTATGGCAAACTCTTGTAAGATATTTTGTTATAAAAAAGTTAAAGAATATAAAGGAGAATTTTAACACAAAAGTAGCATATTTTTCAAATAAAGTTCCATTTGTTTTTTTCATATAAAAGTATATTACAGAAGCTTAATTTTAAGGTATATATAAAAGTGTCAGTATTTCCGAAATATTTTCAAAAATTAAATTGAAAAAATTCTACTTTCTATACTAATATTTAAAGTTTTGAACCCCCTGTATAAAGGAAAATAGTCAGATTTAAAAAAAAAAAANTACAAAAGTTTAGATGAAAAAATTCGATAAATAATTTTAGAAAAGTTATCAATAATGTAGTGCGACCGGCTTGATGATGACTTTTTAACGATTAAAAAACATTTTAAATTATGACTTAATCTAAGATAACAAGAATTATAGGCGAAAATCAAGTAGGGTCTTGCTCCACAAAATGTTAAAAAAAAATATTTATTTTTATAAAAAAAAAACGGTAGCACAGTGGGGTCGAGGCACAGTATAGAAGTGGCATAGATGAGATAAGTATAGATGATATCTGACAGTGATTAAAATCACTATGATAAGAAACGCTTCGATGCAAATCTGTAGATAGTGTTTCCTTTAGAGAAATTGGTGAAATATTTTAAAAGCAACATGAACTCTTATTTCTTTAATTATATCCTGATTAGTAGTTCTTTGATTTTAAAATATAATATATGAATAAATACTAATTATAGTTTTTAAATTTAGTATGAAATTGTGAGGCCAGCTATGATGTATGGTTAATAGTGTTGGGCGGTTGATAAGAAAGTAGAGCAGAGAATAAGTGTAGCAGAGATGAGAATGCTTAGTTGGATGAGTGGAGTGACTAGAGAAGATAGGATAAGGAACGAGCATATAAGAGGAAGTATAGGTGTTGCGTCAATCGTGGATAAGATGACAGAAAATAGACTTAGATTGTTTAGTCATGGTATGAGGAAAGAAGAATCGAAAGCTGTAAGAACAGTTATAGAAATGAATGTTGAAGGAAGAAGAGATAGAGGAAGACCAAAAAAGAGATGGAGGGATGCTATTGAATGCGATTTGAGGACAGCTGATGTGAGCGTAGAAGATGTGGGAGATCGTGTCAAGTGGAATCTTAGGATAAGGGTGCCCGACCCCAAGTAGTTGGGATTAAGGCAAAGAAAAAGAAAAATATTACCAGATATTCCGGTGGCAATTGACATAATATGATTGTTATTTCGGAATGTACAATTTAGCGTTTAGTTGGGTTTAAATAATATAGCGTCAAATCAATTACCTACTCTATCGGTTGTATCTCAATATACACTACACTTTAATGATACAATAAATAAATAAACTCACACATACACACATATGCATTTATAACATTGTGTCTAATGTAAGTATAACATGATAAAAAGTAACCGTAAAATGAAAAAAATGGAATATAAATTTTATTACTCATATTAAATGTAATGTAACTCGAAAAATATTTGTTTAAATGAAAAAATATAAGATTATATTTTTATTTATAATTGTCTTTTAAACAACTTTTGTGCGAAACTTTTTTTTGTAAGTTAAATATTTTTTTTTGAGAAAATTAAGAAAGCTCATATTTTTGAACTTTTGCGAGGATTTAAAAAAAAAGCTCAATTCCAATCTTGAGGACTATTAGTATGTCATTATACATATTTTAATTCAACTTTTAAAAAAACAAAATTTTTTCCGCAATTTTTCCTTTGTTGACTGGCCTAGATGTCAATTTTAAACTTGTAATTGAGCTAAAAGTTATGGTAATATATTCAATTTATTTTACTATAAACTTTCATAAATCTTTATCAAAAATTTTTCATCAACTTTAAAGAACCAAAAAAATAGGTTAAAATTGAAAATTTGGACTGATTATTTTTAACATATTAAAAATCAAATCAGTAATAATTTGAAAACAAATTTTTTTTTCTTTTAATTATTATTTTATATATATAATTAGTAATAATATAAAAAATTAGAAGTGATAGAAATAGTCTACTTGCAGATTTGAAAACAACGCGAAAAGTTGATTTAGAAAAGTATATTTTTGCTTCTGATGAAAGTTCCTTGTAGTCCAGTGCATTTTTTTATAGTAACAAACAGTTTTTATTGAAAATTATTGTATCAAGCCCTTTAAATTTTTATACACGTAAAAGTAAAGCAAAATATAACTTCTTTATTATTTTTATAATTTCTCCGTTTAAATTACAATATTAAATATCAATTTCATACTAAATTTAATAATTATAATTAGTATATATTCAAATATTATATTTTAAAATCAAAGAACTACTAATCATGATATAATTAAAGAAATAAGAGTTGATGTTGCTTTTGGAATAATCCACCAATTGCCTAATTAAAACAAAAAAAAAAAAAGTTTGTTGGGAATTTTTTCTGCTATTCTGCAAAATTACTCCTTCGTTGACTAGAATGAATCATTAAATAGAAAATTTTATGAGAATTAAAACAATGTTATTTTTAAGATTAATATGCAGTCAGAAAGTTTTATAATTATTATTTATTGTAAATTTATCAGAAAAACTCATTATTTTTTGCATTTTTATCGTAATAGAACACTTAAATAGAAATCATAGTAATCATTTCTAAGTAATTTTTGATATTTAAAAAGATTCTACTATTGAAATATCCAGAACTGAATTAATTTTAATGATTTACTTTAACTAAAAAAAAAAAAGTTAATATTTTGAATCCCTCTTGTGGGCAGGTAAAGGGTTAGATTTATAAAAAAAACCAAATGATAGATAAAGACATGCATCTAAATAAAAAAAAATATACTGATTTGGTCATTTTTGATAAAGTTATAACAATTAACAAAGTTATAAGTTTTATACACTGGACTACAAGGAACTTCCATCAGAAACAAAAATATACTATTCTAAATCAACTTTTCGCGATGTTTTAAAATGTGCAATTAGACTTTTTCTATAACTTCTAAGTTTTAATATTATTAAAAAATAGTTTTTACATATAAAAAAAAATAATTAAGAACAAAAAAAATTGTTTTAAATTAATACTGATTTGATATAATATTTAATATTAATTTGATTATTAATAAGTTAAAAATAAGGAAAATGACATATTTAACCAATTTTGTTAATCGTTTAAAGTTGATTGTTGTAAATGTTTATAAAAAAAAAAAAAAATTTATTTTACCATAACTTTTAGCTCAATTGGTAAGTTTGACATTGACATAATTAAATAGAAAATTTTATGACAATTAAAAAAATTGTATCGTTAAGATCAATATGCAGTCAGAAAGTTTTATAATTACTATTTATTGTAAATTTATCAGAAAAGCTCAATATTTTTTTGCATTTTTATGGTAATAGATAACTTAAATAGAAGTAATAGTAATAATTTCCTAGGAACTTTTGTTGTTTGTTGAAAAGATTCTATAATTGAAATATTGAGAACTTAATTAATTTTAATGATTTACTTTAACTAAATGTACCAATCAAAACAAAGTTGTTAAAAAGATTTACTCAATTGAGTTTATTATAAAATTTGATTATATTTGTAAAAATCAATTGTTAATTCAGGAGAAAAAACAATCATTTTTTTTAGAAATGATTTATATAGCAACACGTTAGAAAAAAATTTGAATATTATAGTCTAATAGTAGCACACACAAACAGAGTAATAAAATTATTAAATTACAAAGTAAAATGATTTAATTTTGTAGTTGAAACCTATCATATCAAACTTCATTCGTTAATAAATATTTTGAAAACATTAGAAATTAATGATTTTAATTGTCTTTATGGAGACGATGTAATAACTAACTGTTTAATTGATAAATTAGAATTTTTTTTTCAATTTTTGAGAGTAATATCTTCAACTAGATACGAATTGTAGTAATTTGACGTATTGTTGAAAAAAGTAGGTCAAGTTAGAGCAGAGAAAATAAATGATAGTCACAAAAAAATATCTTCTCGGCTTTGCATCGAAGCGAAAACTTAAAATATAGTAAAATAATTTTAATACGAATAAGAAATTTCTTCTTGCAAGGGGCGACTAAAGTGATGGGATCCTTGATCTTTATTGAAGTTATTGAATCTAAATGTGATAAAAATCAAACGAGTTAAAATTTATACTAACTTAAAAAGAATTAAGAAAAAATGCAAAAAATTCATTGCCATATGCGGGTTGGAACCTCGTACCCCAAGCGTGTAAAACATAAATTTTACCAACTCGGCAACCGTACGTTGCTTCCGGCGGTTGAAAAATTGGCTATTTAAGCTAGTTCAAATTTCAAAGTTATTTTTCTCGACTTAAAAGAAACAAACATATTTAAATAAGTTTAACTATCTATACTATATCAATTTTAATTTATATAATATTTATGAAAATCTGTACTCCCCTTGTCAGGTATTTTAAAATAAAATAAAATACAAAACCCAGAATTTTAACACAAAAATAGCATATTTTTGCATACGGTAGTCATTTTTACCATGAAGACAAATCCAGAGGTCAAATTTTTTTTTTTCACATTAAAGTATATTACATAAGCTTTAATTTAAGATATATTTAAAAGTGTCAGTATTTCCGGAATACTTTCAAAAATTAAATTGAAAATATCGTAGTAACAATACGCATGTTTAAAGTTTTGACCCCCCTTGTTAAAGGGGTATGATCCGATTTACAAAAAAAGCGTGCCAGATGAAAGGGGTATATCAATATTTATTATAAAAAAATAATAATATAGATCCATACATTTTTCCAAAAGTTATATAAAATATAAATTAAATAATATAACATATAAAATCGAGATTTTTTTCACGGAAATCGTACGTTTTTCTTTAACTTTGATGTCCGTTTTCACCACGAAGACAAGTCCAGAGGTCAAATTTTTTTTTTTCAAATTAAAGTATATTACATAAGCTTTAATTTAAGATATATATAAAAGTGTCAGTCTTTCCGGAACATTTTCAAAAGTTAAGTTGAAAAAGTTCTACTTTCTATACGCATTTTAAAAGGTTTGCACCCCCCCTGTATAAAGGGAAATGGTCCGATTTTAAAAAAAAGTATGTCGAATGAAAGAAGTATATATAAAGTATTTATCATTAAAGAATAAAGTTGATTCATGCATTTTTTAAAAAGTTATAGCAACATAATGTTAAAAAATGTAAAATATAATATCAAGAATTTTTTCACAAAAATAGCATATTTTTGCATACGGTAGTCATTTTCACCATGAAGACAAGTCCAGAGGTCAAATTTTTTTTTTTCAAATTAAAGTATATTACATTAGCTTTAATTTAAGGTATATATAAAATTGTCAGTCTTTCCGGAACATTTTCAAAAGTTAAGTTGAAAAAGTTAATTTTTTGTAAAAAAGTTACCATTTTGAAACCCCATCCTTTGGGCTGTTAAAGGGTCAAATGTTCACAAAAATATATAAAATGATAGGTAATTATCTAAGGTATCTATAAAAAAAAAAATTATATTGATTCGGTCATTTTTTAAAAAGTTATGGCAATTTTAAGTAAAAAAAATTGAAAAAATATCGAAAATTAGCGATTTTTAAATTTGTAATTTTTTGGGTGATTTCCCCCGTTTACGGTTGGGGTCCAGGGGAAATTTTTTTTTTTTTAATTTAAGTGTATTACATAAGCTTTAGTTTATGACATATATAAAGGTATCAGTATTTTCGGAACATTTTCAAACTTAAGTTAAAAAAGTTTATGTTTTGTAGAAAATTTGCCTTATTGAACCCCCATTTAAAATATCACATTTTGAAAAAAACTATACCAAATGGTTGGTAAATGTTTAAGGCATCAATATAAATAAAAAATTATGTGCATTTTTTTATAAGTTACACTAGTTTTAAGAAAAAAATTAAAAAATTACCGATTTTTAAAATTATAATTTTTTGAGGTATTTCCATATTTACAGAAAACGAGGGAATTTTTTCAATTTTTGAGGGTAATGTTTTTGACTAGATACAATTTATGATATTAAGTATAGTGAGAACTAAGAATAAGTGGTAACAGACAAACAAAAAAACTCATAATTGTAAAATTAATACCTTCTCAGCTTCGTTTCTACGCTAAAGCTACTATCATTTTATGAAATCCAAAAATATATTCAAGATGAATTAGTTGCTCTCATTTAAGAACTTTTAAATAAAAAATTGTAAATTTTACAACATATAATATTTTAATTAATTTCTAACCAAGATTATTTTTACCAAGTCTTTATTATGTTTTTATTAAATTTCTTCATGAATTATAATATCTTATGTAATTATAAATATTATGTAGAATCCAAAACACATTTCCTAATATTTTTATTGTTCCCAACCATATAAATATATAAAATTTAATTATATTTTTAGGTCAATAATTAATAAAACTTTAATTTAAAAATACAATATTTTTCAAAATTAAGTCTTAGCATGAACTTTATTTTTAACGCTAAAAAAAAAATTATCACATAATTATATAAAAGAGAATGTTATTACTAAGGTTATTAAGCAGGAATACCAGCATTAATTTGTCCTTCTATACCACATTCATCTTGTCCTCTTAAAATTTTAAAAAAACCATTATCACCCCAATCAGTATTCCAAGAATTGGCCACCAACCAATAAGGTGTATTGTTTTCTACTCCCCATCCAAGTATTCTAATAGCATGTCCTCCAAGTGCTTTACCAGCAACATGTTTATAAACTCCTATAAAACAAAAAGAATATAATCTACACAAAAGAGAAAAATTAAACTAAAGGGCTCAATGTTGTAACCAAATAAATCCACTTTTCATAATATTTTTTAATTTAAATAATTAATGGATAATTTAAAGTAGTAATGAAAAAAGATTTTTTCAAAGAATAAATTCTATAAACTCAGAAGAAAAATAAATTTTCTTCTATAAACTTATTAATAATAATTTAAACTATCCAAATTTTAATAAAATGTAATTTAAAGTACATTGTTCTAATGTTTGTGAAAAATACCTTGAGTTTTGATATTTTTAATTTAATAAACTAGAGCAATTTAAATTTAAGCTTAAAATTAATTGAATGTGAATAAGCAGTCTCTCATTATAAACCTATTATATTTGTATTTTATTATAATTAATAATGAATTTTAATATTTAAGTTATTATGTTTAATATTATTGTCAATTTATAATTTTGTAAAATCAAATATTATTTAATAATAAGTAAAACAGATTTTTTTCTCTGTAAATAAAGAAAGAATAATTAACTAACCAGATTTATAAGATACAAAATCCTCATACACGGTAAATGCACCTTCTACAGGCCCATTAGTATAAATTTCTTTTCTGATTTGATCCACTCCATTTCCAATTGAGTATGCAGATTTACCTAAAAAATAAAATGTTCATCAAAAAAGTCACAAGGATTAAGTTTATTCAACTTAAATAATTTAAAATATTTTTTATACCATTATAAACTCCAGAGTTGATAAAAAAAGATATTGAAAAAATGTAGATTTTTCTAATATTTTCAAATATACGAGTTATTAGGAAATAAAGTTTATGAAGCATATATACATACAAATATTTTAATTGATTAAATTATTCAGAAGGGATTTAGTATGCATCTTTTGAAAATTACAAAAAGTTATGTTAAAATATTGAATTTTAAATTATGTGAATTTAAAAATTATCAAAAACAACAAGGATATATTTAGAATTGTACTTTTAGTGAAATTATAAATGAGACACATACAATACAGTAAGTAAGATGGACTTATTAATTTTGAGAAAATTGTATTTAAAGTTTTTATTTTTAATACAACACTACCACATAAAATAAAATAAATTTTTTATGATTTTATTTGTTTTTTCCAATTTTATTTTTTGCTAAATAGAAGTTCTATTTTTTAGTAGATTTGCAAACTTATTCAATTTTTTTATAATGTTACTTATACCCTTAGTAATCTAAGCGTCTTTAATTTACTAGAGAAACACTCTTCAAATTTTAAATATGCATAAAATAAAAAAAATCAACCTAAACTTTGTGCACATACAAAAGTTATAAGTTAAAATAAATATCTAATTAAGTAGATATTTTACATATACTTTATCTACTTAATATCTAACAATATTCAGCTTTTTTAGCTTAGTTTTTAATATTTTTATGTAGAGCTGGAATAAAATGTAACAAAGAAGCTATCCTTCAGGCTTAATATCCAATAAACTGAAATAGCCTTACAGACAAATTTTTCAAGATATTGAATATTGATACCTATTTGTAACAATTATTTTGCTTCCTTACATCCTGTACAAGAACACGCATTAACAACTCACCATGATGTAAATCATCTTTGTATGACAATTTATAACCATCTTCACATTTTTTGACACATTTAGGTGTTTTCCCACCCTCTTTACATGGTCCTCTTGTTCCATTTACATGATGTTCACAAGGAGCTACTTCATAAGGAATACATCCCTATTACACAATTTCATTTAAAAATTTAGTTTTGGCTTGGTATAAATATTTAATAATAATATTTGTTTTGGTATAAATATTTATAATAAAAATTCAAAGCAAATTAAAAGTGTAATAAAAATAAAACTTTTAGATGCTCAAATTAACTTAATTATTTGATAGTTTAAATAAATAATTAATTATTTTATATTGTTAAAACTTCATTTAAATTTTAATGTACTTTAAGTAATAAGTAATTACCATGTGGGAGTTGTATGAGCCACCACTAACGATTCCAGTTGTTTTCCAATAACGCCAAGCACCACCAGGAAAACCACCATTGCATCCAAAACCACAAGTCCAACAACATGATACTAAATTTTCAGCAGAAAAATGAAAATTTAGAGTTCCATTCGAATGTATACAAACACGGTCAGACATAGCTTCTACTGCACCAAAAGCCTAAAATAGTGAATAATAATTGGTAATTATGATTATTAGTGAAAAAGCAATTAAAAACTAGACACAAATCAAATAAAAAATGTATAAGTGATTTAAATATTAACCATATTTTACAGCTCGTTATGAAAAAGTTAATCACAAGAAAAATCTCATAGATATAATAGGATCTCATTAAATTAAAGAGATCTATATTTATCATGTAACTACCAAAGTGTCAAATTATGTTTAATGACTTAACATTTACATAAATAGTATAATTATGTACTAAGATAGATGTACCTAGAGGTTGAGTCCAGACTTATGTAGTAGTTTTCAGAGCCAGTTCTAGGCACGAACTCCATTAAATTATTAAACAACTCAAATAAATCACAAAAGAAAATGAAAAAATCATCACAACATCCCTAGAGAGAGATAGGTCTCTGGTACTATAGATCCAAATTATAATTGGGACAGTCCTTTTTAATTCCAGACACTCCTCTGTTTATTAATGGAGTCTACTCTAGTTTCCTATAATTCTTCATAGAGAAATTTATAATTTGTGTTGCTTTATGTGTAAGTACCAAATTATAATTATTTGACATAAAAACAAATGAGATGCTACGTTCTCTTTGTAAATCAGCAAAATACTAAATAAATTATTTCAAATAATAAAATTAATGTATATGATAGTATTAAATTTATAGTAAAAAGAGAACTTGGAGATTTCACTCCAAATTGAGTTAAGCTGTATATATTATGTAATATATATTTTAAAAATTTGTTAAAATTGCATCTATGGTAGAATAACTGTTAGAAAAACATTGAATTTAATAAACATGTAATTTATTATAAACAAAAAAATTCAGTTAATTCAAATAGGACTTCATAAATAAAGTTTAGGTAAATAATGTCTACAATTATAAAAGATTAACTTAAATACAAATATTAGTCTAGAACTAACATTTGACAATACATTAGAAATATTACAATAGTTTCTTACCCAACAAGAACCACATGAGCCTTGATCTCTAATTTCTCTTATAGTTGGACAATTAGGCCAATTTTCCCTTGAATCAAAGTTTTCGGGTAAACTGGAAAAATCATTGTATTCTAACAACTGTTCTAATTTTTCTTGTTTATCATTATCTTTATGCACACCCATTAGATTTTGAAGGTATTTCATAGGAGTATTTTTATGAAAATTACGTCCAGCCTAAAATTGCAATTTTCAATTAATAAATGATTACTTATTATATAACATTTAATAACTCACCTTCCATGTATTTTGTATTGAATTAATATGATTTATAAATTCATCTGACAGAGGATCTTTAGGAGCGGGCTGTGATTGTACAAAACAATAACAGAAAAAAAAGACATAAGAATATGAAAAGAGCTTCAGCATTTTAAACAAATTAATATTTTATTATTAAATTAAAAAAAATATATAATAAAGAAACCAGAACAACAAATATTAAATGAAAACGTAATAAAATCTTAATCTTTTGGTGCTAAAGGTAAAGTTTTTGTTACGTAAATTACTAATACGCTAAATAATAATTGTTCGATTAATTGTGTAATTCGGTAAGTTATCCGTTGTAGAAGTTAATAATTTATTATTCCATATCTATACTCGATAACGGTTCAAAATCCCCTTCTTACTTATTTGTCTTAAATGAAATAATTACAACTTGTACTAATATTGAAAATGAGATCTCATTACAAAAAGTATTTATATAACTAGATAAGGTAAAGAAAACGAGAATAAAACATAGATAACATAAAATATTACCATGTTGAGATAATCAAAGTCAAAGTCATTTACGCATTACTATTAGAATTTTACTGATCAACAATAGCCTTTAATATGTAGAGTGAACTTTGATCATTATCACTAAGTATTATATAGTAATTTTTAAAAATGCCGCATTATTATTTTGAAATTTTATTGACGAGTGCTATTATTATTATTGATAAATTTATTGAGTTTTCTTATTTCGAGCTTTAAAATGACTTGAACTCTATAAAAGTCAAAGTCATATGAAGACACTTGGTAGTAAAAATTTATATACCTTAAATTTATAACCAGTGGTGTATCCAGAAAATATAAGAGAACTAAACTTGCCTTTGTCCAATTTTCTGTGTGGTTAAAGTTTACCAAATAATATTTAGTTACCATACACCTACTTACCTGTTAGAATTTTATTAGAATTTATTTTAAGAATTTCATTTTTATTTAAAAAAAAAAAATTCATATAAATCTTAATTTAAAATTTATTAAGTGGTCATCATACAATGTAACCCAATACATCATATATGAACTACTTATTTGGGAAACGACGTTAATAAAATAATTTTGGAAAATGTGTTGTCATACAATGTTTTTCAGATAAGCAGATCATTTTTTAAATGATCTCATGAACTCCTTTTTCTTTAAACCATTCAGTTTTAACCTGATACATCAATGATATAAAAAAGTTTTTCATTAGGTAGTAGGTGTAAAATTGATAAATATAAAATTAATAAGACTATCAATGAAAGTAAATTCTTTAATATCAATTTCTTTAGGAAGTACTCATCAACATTGTTTAATAAATATCCAAAAAAGATATTATGTTTCAACTATATTTCACAATTAACTAAATATAGTTTATAAATTAATACTTCTATTGATTTTTAATAATAATAATAATAATAAACTATACAATATTTATCAAATAAGTTCTGTGTTTAATATAAGTCCATAAAGGAAATATCCATGACATTATTGTTTAAGTTAAGAAAGGTCAGTAAAGTAGTTATAGATTACATTTTATCACTTATACTTAATTAATATTTATTTCATAATTCTACAAAACTTGTTTCTGGAAAAAAAAAATTCATTATACACTCATCAGCAACTTTTAATTAGGTACATTTAGTTATTGAAATATATAGTACATAATATAAATTAAGTTAATGTAATAATATGGCTTAGTTAAGTCAAATTATTTAAAGTGATATCTAAATAAAAATTTTTCTTTTGCCATCACATTATACTGATTTAACAAATTGATTTTTTTTTTATTTTTCATTAGTTGCTTGTTTTTTAAGTTGTTTTTCTCTCATTCTATCAGCATCCCTAAAAATAAATTTATACTTAAAATTTTTTTTTATATTAAATAAATTAATCTTATGCTTGAAATGTTTATGGTCGTATCCACGTTTTCAGTTATGAGCTCATATGAAAGCTTTAACTCAATCAAATTATTCTTAGTTAATGAATACATTTCATATAAAAGATAAATTTATATAAAATAATTTGCAATGATGATTAAATTGCAAATAATTATACAAATATACCTTTGCATTCTCTGTTCTAATGATAATCCTTGATTACAACCTTTGTCAGAAATTCCTTTACGCTTGTTTAATTCTTGTTGTTTTTTTTGGTTTCTCTCACGAGCAAGGTCTCTAGCATTACCACCTAATGATATTACCATAATTAGATTTTATTAAAATCAATGTATAAGATGGACATTTTATTACAAATGTTGAATAAAAAAAAAATGACACTTACGTGCCATTTTCTATCCGAGAATTGTTAATTATATGATATAGGATTCAACGATCCTGCTTAAGTATTTTAAAGACAAGTATTCACAGATGGAATTTTTTTTAGTTAATAATAAAAACAAAAATAGATAAATAAAGAACTTAATTAATAATCATAGATAACATTCAACTTCAGTACTTTAGCTAATGTCGTGGCTAAGAATTAAGATATAAAAAAAATTACTCGCAATCAGTGTTGCCAGTATTATAAAACGACTTGATTAACAAGATAGTATTTTATGCGAATTGAACGTAAAAAAAAAACATTTCCTATGACATAAGGACATAAAATATGCAGAACTAGGAACTGAAACTTAAAACCGGTTTTGAAACTGAACCCTTTGAAAATTAAAAAAATGAATATTACACATTTTTAAAAAAGTTCTAGGGATGCCAATGTAATTTGTAAATTTGTTTCAGAAATAAATAAGCTAAATACAAAATTTTATGATATAAATTTCAAAAATTAAGTGCTTTTTTGCTTGTTTTGTGTTTTTAACGCTATTTCACAAAATCATGTTAAATTTTTTCAATTTACTTTTTTTTTTTTAATTATTGTAACAAAATGTTTTGAGACTAAAGCACGTGTTTATTTTCAATTAAACATTTTATATATTTATAATTACGCATACTTCTACTCATATTCAAAGATTTCATTCACTGTTAACTCTAAAAATTCTGAATTTCGCCTCAGAATAAAAGGGAACGATTTGCTAGTTTTTAATTTATTTTTAGAGAACATCTGCTAGTTTAAAGAGATTTTTTTGTGGTCCTCCGGCATTGAAAATTTTTGACATTACACAATCAAACATTTTTTTAATGCGCTCTAACTACACTAGTTCGATTATTTCTAAATCTTATATCTTAGAACGAAAACTAAAATGTTCTATCTTCTATGGACATTATATAATAGAACCTATTGGTTTTTTAATAGTACGATTACTAAATAGAAAAAATTTGCTAGGGTTAATTTAATTTGTCTTTATAATATCCTTATCTATCTAAGATTTCCTATTTTCACTAGATCATAAAAAAAAAAAACAAGTCATTAAAAACTCGATCAAATTCATTTTAGACTGGTCTGTCAACCCAAAGATAGAGTTTTGAATATGGACTAAATAATAACAAAATCCATTGAATTAATAAAACAAATATTATCTTATTTATGTTTAATTATTAAGTTACGTAAGATTAATCAATAAATATATTTTAATTAAAAAAGTACGTAACAGCAGAATGTATAATGTGCAGTATATCAATAAAAATAATTATTGGATATTTAATAAATTAATTAAGTTCTGAATATTTCAATTGTAGTGTCTATTTATAAACCAAGAGTGACATATAAATGATTACTATGATTTTTTTTTTTGAAGTGATTTATTTCAATATTAATAGAAAAAAAGCGATTTTAACGAAATTTTGACTTTTTTTCATAAATTTGTTGTTAATAGTAATTATTTAAGTTCCTGATCACAAATAAAATTAAAAATACGATTTTTTAAATCTTCATAAAATTTTATATTTAATGATACCAATTCTAAATTTGCAAGTTAAGCTAAAATAATGTTTAAAAATTCAACATTTTAAACATTTATTATGCATAAAAATCAATTTTAAAGGACAAAAGAATAGGTTACACATATTTTGTCATTATATGATTTCAGTTTTGAAATCAGTTTTAACAATGTTTTTATTGGTCTATTATCATTAAAAAAAATGTTTCATTTTAGTGATGTGGTTTTACAGTATAATTCAATATAAAAACGAATTTTGTACTCCTATTATTTGTAAAGATTTTTAAATTCAATAAGTTTTTATTTCAATAATGCAATTTTAAGATATTTCTCAACATTTCTAAATTTAATCGAAATTTACCGATCTCAAAAATTGTAATTTTTTTGAATATTTCCCCCTTTTACAGGAACGAGAGAAAATTTTCAGTTTATTAAAGCAATTGCTTTAACTAGATACTGTTTATGATCTTTTGACGTATTGTTGAAATAAATTGGATCGGCGAGAGATGAGAAAAAGTGGCGACAGACAAAAAAAAACACATAGTAAAATACCATCTCAACTTCCAATCAAAGCAAAAATGATTAATATTACTACCAGAGTTGATTTATTTTAATTTGTGATAATATCTTATTATTTTCTAAATTTGTAAAATGGAACTCATTTTCTTTTTTATAAGATAAATAAAATTTTATAAAATAAGTAAATGAATAATTATTACTAGTTTCCACTATATTTTGATTTTTTTTTATCCAAGGTTTGCTCTTGTAGCATAAACTTTGAATTACTGGTTGGGGCAAAAAAAATGTAATCACAGTTTTTAAATTTCTTAATCCCACATTAAAAACTTTTATCTTAAGTAAACTGATTTGGTTAGCTCACCGGTTGAATTGATTGTAAAAAAAAAAAACATCTGCTGTGAACACATTATTAATTTCAATTTTAAAGATTTCCACAAAAAGGATTGACTAATGACGCTGTAGTACCTGGATCCTGGGAAAGTAAACTGAGTTTTCTACATTTAAATGTCATTATTCCGACAAAAACCTACTCCTTACTTTTTTACCCTAATTTATCAATTACATAAAATACTAAACAAAGTTCTCCTGTTCTAACCCCAGTTATTTTACAATTTTTAAAGAAAATTATCGATTTACCAATACCACCCCATAGAGATAATGTAATGTAGTTATGTAACCAAGAAGTTTTTGATAAACCTCATAAAAAAAATTAAAATCTACAATTCGTCGTCAAACAACATTGATAAAAAAAAATGATCCTTGATATCAAAATATCATTATAAAATATCAATATGTTAGCCCTCAAATCAGAAACATTTTCTTTCTTATAATTCTATGGCTTCAGAAATATTAGTAAAAATGCAAATTCTTGATAAATTCTATATTGGGTTTATATAAAATAAAAAATAATTATATTTTAACATCTGATGTGTAACAGAGATGAGAATGTTTATGTAGATTAGTAAAGTGACTAGAAAAGATAGGATAAGGAACATAAATCGTCAATCGTGAGAAATATGAAAGAAAATAGACTTAGATATTTTGGTCATTTTATGAGGAAAGAGGAATCGGAAGCTATAATAACCGTCATAGAAATTAAAGTTGAAGGACGATGAGGTAGAGAAAGACCAAAAAAGAGGGTGGCGGATCCCAAGTAATTGGGATAAATACGAAGAAAAAGAAGTTTTATTTATATTCAGTATATATTTAAGTTATTCCTAGCCCAGCTGCCTTTTAAGGACTGGAGTTTTAATGATAATGATAATGTATTAGTATATACACAAATAAAAGGACAAGGTAGCCAAGATGAAAATGAAACAGTGTCTAATGTATACTATTATGAGTTTAACTCTAGCATGGGTGACTCATTTGTTAAACAAAAGATCAGATCAGTAATCGAAGTAGCTATTCCCTTTTTTTCTGGTGAAAATCTAACCACCTGTTCTGCATTGTAAATGATAAAGATACCTTTTCTTCAAGATAGACTACAATGACTCATTAAAGCCATATAGCGTTAAAAAAAAAATATAAATTCATATACATTAAAGTGGTTCAAATTATTTTTGTATCTATCACCTTTTTTACAATTTAAAAGTCTTCCAGAATCTACGAAACATTTTTTTGGTACAAAAAAAAATAAATATTTAAATTCTCTCTTAAGAGTTAGAAAAAAAAATTTCTTCACTCTAATTTTAATATGTTTCTGTCACCAAAACTGCATTAACATACCACAAATGTTTTTATACAATATTTCATACATACACCAACATTAAACCAAACTGTACTAATTTCATTTATTTATGTATACAAGGGTGATTCAAAAAACTTAACTTTAAAAATTAGATCACATCTTTTTTTTATATTAAGTAAATGCATTACTTACTTTATATTAATATTTCTCTAAAATTTCCCTGATTTTCTTGGATTGGAGAAATTCCCACAAAAACTATATACAGTTCAAAGTAATATAAGAGATGAACATTTAAAATCATTTTTAGAAGCTAAAGGAACAATAAAATATACAAGTGCAACACTTCAAAATGAAATAATTGAATCCTACAATAAAATTATTTTAAATAAAATCGTAACAAACATAAATGCCCAAAAATGTTTCACAATACTTGCTGATGAAACAGCCGACATCGGTGGAATTGAACAAGTATCTTTGAGTGCACGATATTTAGATGTTGAAAATATGATTATCAAGGAAGAATTTCTTCAGTTTGTGCCTACGACAGATACTACTGGAAAAGGTTTAGCCGATATTATTTTACAAAGTTTACATTCATTTGATGTAGAAACAAAATACCTTAGAGGACAGGGTTACAATGGATGTGCTTCTATTGTTTGGCCGCCGATCGGATATAGCGCCACTTGCATACCACCGGTTCACGCGATCGAGTTTTGTTACGCGTTGAGTGTGTACGGCGAGTCTGGTTTTGGCGCTTATGCTATTAAGAACGATCCTATGACTGACAGTGGAGCGCTTCAACTTGAGAGCCCACAGCTAAGTTCCGTGATCGCCAATTCAATAGCAAAAAAAAGAAATTTTGGATGCCCATCCACGGGTTCATGTTGTGAAGAACGTGTCTGGTCCTTGTATACGAATAAACGAAGTAACCAGCTTGCATATAAAGAATTTAAATATATAATTGTGTAGTAACGGTAGATTAATTTATGTAATATTGTGTTTAGTAATAATAAAATTTACATTTGTTCTGTCAAAGAGTTTTGTCATTAAATTTTAGTTAGTCAAGTCGTGTCCATAACAGGCGAAGATACTGGGTGCCCCGACCAAGAGGTGTTTTCGAGTCGGTGGCATAACATCTATGTCTGGTCAGTTTAACGGAGCTCAAGCTATTATTCGCCAAAGTCACCCGCTTGCGACTTATATTCATTGTGCTGCTCATGTTTTAAACCTTGTTATTTCTTATTCATGTTCCTTACAAGAAATACGAAATTGTTTAGGAACAATATCTAAAGTTAGAGATTTCTTCATATACCCGCAGCGAAAAGATGTGTTGAAAAGTCAAATCGAAGAAAGCCAAGAATGTATTACAAAAAAAAAAAACATTAAAACGATTATGAGATGGGTTGAACGTTTTCATGCAGTCAATGATTTTCTTGAGCTTTTTGAGTACGTAATTGAATCGTTATTTATAATTTCGAAGTGGAATGACAATGAAACATCATCACAAGCAAGTAATCTACGAACATCAATACTGAAAGGAGATTTTATTATTTGTTCACTTATTGTGAATAAAGTATTTAGTTATGGGTTGCCTCTTTCAAAACAACTGCAAAGAATAAATATTGATCTAGGTGAAGCTATGGATCTTGCGGAAGGTACAATAAAAGAACTTCAAACTTTAAGATCGAATGTTGAGTCTGAATTTCATAAAATTTTTGAAAATGCATTGACTTCATCAAATAAACTAGATATAAATATTGCATAAAAATCTTTTTGATAAAAATCATTTTTCTTGCACTTTATATAGTGAAAATCCCAATCAATTAAACTTTCTAAAACAAATCAACATTATTATTAGTGACCTTAGATTATCATAACCTATTAAGAGATATGGAGTAAAATCTTCATATTTTGATAGTTTGCTATCAAAATAGCAAAATTTAGGATACGATTATTTAATAACTAGTAGGTTAATCAGAATGTTTTAGAAAACACTTTTTCAGTTTATCAACAAGCCCTACAATTGAAAATCCTATCAATTCCGATTATCGTTCAGATACATCTGAAATATCTTCCTTCTCTAATTCCTGTCCTACTATATAAGAACAACTGACTATTCTTCCTTCATTAACTTTAGACTAAAAATATACATTTGAGATCTGCTCAAATGTATATTTACTAGGTACCTTGATAAAAAATCATTAGATAAATTTTCATGTAAACCTGTGAAAATAAATTTCTGAAAGTGAATAAAGATCTTTTTAATGACAAAGAATTTTTGATATTTTATAATACATTTAGTGATCTGAACTTTGGTTAAAATTGCTTTATTTGTTAATATATATTTTTCTAAAATATTTTTAATTTGTTTTTTTTTTAATATTTCATTATGTCCCTGAAAAAATAAATTACTAATTTATGAAAACCCTATAAAATGCGGAATTAGTAATTAATATCACACTTACACTTGATTACTGTTAAATTAAATAATTAAATCCAGATCGGACCTGGAACCCCATTCGTTGTAACCACTAGACCGACCCTTATTTAGTTTAAAAAAAATGATTTAAACAATTTTATCTAATCTGATATGAAGCATGTGGTTCTTATCAAATATTTTCTTGGCGGAATTACTGATAACTTTTTTAAGACTTATAAGCTATTTTAAAATAAAATTTAAGTATTTTTTTTATAAAACTTTTGACTTGTATATCTAAATATTTTTAACAAATATATTATTCCAATAATATAATAGAAATGTTGAATTGCTCGAAAACTTCTCATATTAATCCCGGTAGTTATTTAATTATTAATAAAAATGATACATATTTAATTCATCAAATATCTAATAAAGCTGTACTTAAATTAAATCGAGATACAATTGATCTTAAAGTTGCTATTGGACAACCTTATTCAACAACATACAAATTAGAACCTGTTTCTGAGAAGAAACGTCATTACACTTTAGTCATTTGTAATAATGGTTTAACAAAAAACCAATGGTCTACAAATGGCTGTGGTATAGATAATAAACTTATAACTGACGATAGTACTTCACAATTATTGAGTTCAGATGATATTATTGCATTGAAAGACAGTGGTGAAACTGGTCAAAATATTGTTGAGCGATTGTTGGAAAACAGTAAGACATTTCAACTGAAAACTGAATACGCACAAGAAAAATATCTCAAGAAGAAAGCAAAAAAATACTCTGATTATTTAACAATATTAAGACCAACATTGAGACTTATTACAGACATTTTATATAAACAAGTTTTTCCTAAAACTATTCCATTAAGATTTGATACCTTAGCTCAAATATTATGTCGCATAAGTTTGGATCCTAGTGGTAAATATTTATTATTTGAAAATGGAAGTCAAGGATTATTACAAGCTGCATTTTTAAACCAATTAGATGATAATGGACATCTAGTGCACATATTTTCTTCTACTACTGAACAAAATCCACTAAAAGCAGTAAAATGTATGAATTTTTCAGAAGAAAAATTAAAACAAATGTCAGCAATTCACATAAAAGAAATATTAGGAATTAATTACATTGAAGATAGTGAAAATATATTAAATACCACTGAGAAAAAAAGGAAAAGTGATGAAGCATATACACAAGTAAAGAAAAAACAAAAACCTATTTCCAATTTAATAGATTTAGATTTTATTAAATTTAACAAATTTGATGGATTAATTGTTGTATGTAGAGAAGAACCAACAGAGCTTATTAAAATTCTTTTACCTTATTTATCCATATCAAGACCTTTTGTTATTTATTCAATGTTTCGAGAACTTTTAGTCAACATTTATGCTGAATTTAAGATAAGAAAAGACATAATATTTTTACGGTTAACTGATAGTTTCTTAAGAGGTTATCAAGTATTACCAGATAGAACACATCCTGATGTAACAATGGACAATAGTAGTGGATATTTACTGTCTGGAATATTTGTTGAAAAATCGATGTAATTATTTTTTTTTAAAGCATTAAGCACAATAAGATTTTAATTATGTATTGCTTTATTACAATTTTTTTCTATTAATAAATAACTGTAAATCTTGGAAATGGTCTATTCAAACTTATTTGGGTCCTAATATTTATTTATTTTTTTAATATTATGTATGAAAATATTTATAATTAGTTATATGTATTATAAAAGTACTTTATTTTTATTTAAGCACTGTATTTCTATTATTATTGAAGAAAAAGGAATAGCTCCATTATTTCAGTTATGATGATTTATAAATAATATTCTGAAATTCCAAAGTATTTAACATTTGTAATTTATTTAATAATTGCTTCAATACTAATGCAAATGATTTCTCGTATCACATAAAATCATTTTTTTTTTTTTTGCAATCTATGATAGAAGTGTTAATAGTGCTAGAAGCACACCTAGTAATATATTTTTTGGTATTTATAAACTTCTATTAATATTTAATAAAATAAAGTTTTCTTTAGAAAAGTATAGCCATTTAAAATTAATATTCCCTCATTAAAAACTTCTACATATTAATCTGTATATAATACAATATTAATGTAAGTAGGCTGTATCTTGTAAGGAAAATAAAACATTTAAAAATGAATAGCTTCAAAGTTTTGTTTCCTAATAAGATTTACATTCAGGACCATATTTTAGTGATGACATTGGAGCACTGGAGATAATATTTAATTTATTATTGTTAAACCATGTGAATTTTATATATTGAACAATTTTTTTTTGCTCATCACTTCAAAATAAATTGAAAGAAAAAAAAAACTATTTTCTATAAGGTGGTATTATTAAGTATCTTTAAGTGCAGCCCTAGTTGCATTATATGTACTTATTGATTGATTTTATATTTACAAATAGAAGCTTTGGCTAATATAATCTACTGCTCAAGGCCTTGTTGTTAAAAAAATCAAATCAAAATAATATAAGAACCTACAATGACAAATAAAAATAAAAATCATGCTAAGTAGAATTGCCTAAATATCTATTGGGAAAGAAAACTTATGTATTTGTCAAATTAAGTTTTTAAAAAATAATTAACAAGTTTGTACAATATAATAGCAAGTCTTAACTATATGACACGCACAGTTTTGGTGACATTTTTATTAATAAATTCTTTTTCTAACTTTTTCTTTTCTTCTTTAAATGCCTGAGTGTTTGCTTTACGCTCTTTTCTTCTTTCCTGAAAAAAAATGTATAGTATTATTTATTTTAGAAAACAAAAATAATAATGTCCAAAAAACCTGTCTGTATTCTTTTAATGCCTTTTTCCTACTTAATCTTTCTTCAGATGTTTCATTTTTTGGTCTAATTGACAACATGGATAAAGCTGATATAACAGATTTTGTGTTCGAATTATTTACATCACTACTTTCAAGTGATTTTAATGCTTTAGCTGTGAGTTTATACTGTACGAGAGGTATTCCTGTTTTAGGATTTATATGAATTTTTTTAATCTACAACAACAAATATAATTGTTTAATTAAAGTAAAATATAATTATTACAAAAAGAAAAAAGGTAATTGCATTTAAATCTGTTTTTTAGGTTAATAAAAATCATATTTTTTTTTAATAACTTAACACATAGACAAAATTTTTATATATCTGAATCACAATGTATTTCTATACAGTGATATAAGGCTAGGCATTATACCTCCGAAAATTGTTTCTAAATTTAATAATAATATAATAAATAATTAAATATGTACAAAATATAAAATACAAAAATTAATTGGTAATTGCATTAAAAAAAAAAAAAATACAAGTAATATATTACTTTTTGGAAATTTTAAAATTATTTTGAGTGACTTTTATGTACAACTGTTACAAACTGATGGCCTAAATAGAAATTGTCCTAACTCCAAAAATTTTATTATTATATTTTTCTATAAATAATAATTCTGGACATCATTTAAAACCATTATAACTCCAATCGGGCACTTTTGCTATAGACTGGAGGTGAGGAGTGATTGCTGCTATTTTTATCACTAATCATTTCCTGGTTGTACTCTTCCTCTCTCTTAGATATGAAAATGACAATAACTTCTAAAGTACTGGTTCAAAAGATGTTTTCGACCAGTAATTTTCTTAATTAGACCATTTACTATTTAATAAGCTAGTTTAATAGGCATGTTGACATTAAAAAAAATTAGAGTTAACTCTTCTATAAAACATAAGGGATGGACCAATAAAATATTTTTTAACAGATAAATGAAGACGCATATGTAACTAACAAAAACAAAAAAAAAAAAAATTCACAAAAATCTAATTTTTAAAAGAAATTGAGTGGCTAATGTTAAAAGAAACTTCTATTTATATTCTATTAAAATAATTAATTAAGTATAACTATTGAACATTTTTACTAATCAAATAGTTCAATATTTACAACATGATATTTCCTATTAATAGTAAATTTTAACTTTTGATAGACTGAAAAATCTAAATTTAACATTCTTAAATTAGTAAAATACTTAAGGAACCAATATTTTTATCAAAAATTTCCTTTCAACATTTTTATTAGTAGCGTAAAAACTTTAAACAAACCTGAGGTTCTTTAATTAATACAGGATGATTGTAAATATTGGAATATTTTGAAAGTATACTTTCACAATCCCACTTTTTTTGATTGGGATCATCAATTGGTAATTTATAAGTAGTCTCTTCATTATTTGAGTCACTATCATACATTAAAACTGCAGATCTATCTGTTGATATTTCTTCCTGAAATTTTTCATTATATTAAAAAATAATAACAGTATAAATTATACAAGGTTAAAAATTTACTATAGGGTAATACTAACAATTTTTGGAAGTTTTTTTTTTTAAATTCTTTTTTTAACAAGAGTTATTTTTAAGGTTTAGAAAATATAATTTTGTTTCATTAAAATGCATCAGAAACAAAAATATATAATTATTTAAAAATAAAAGACGGGCCAATTTAGTTTTTATGATCACTGATTTAAATAGTGTTAGTGCTGAAACTGTCATAAATGCCTTGATGATTAGTTTACATTTTAATTTATTAAAGATCTAGAGAACATTGGTTTATAAATGAAGCATTTTACTTTTTTGGTATTCAATTCAAATTCTTCTGCTGCATTTTTAATCATCTCAGAATCCATTGTAAGAGTACCCTCAATTTCTTCAGAATCTAAAGCTCCTATTTCAATATCATCATATCCAACATATAACTAAAACCGTAATATGTTAATTAATATACAAAGTTAACTTTAAGAAATTTTAAGTCAATACTTTGTCAAATTGCTCATCTAATAATTTTAAATTTTCATTTCGTCTAATGATTGAACTTGACATAGAATAATTAGTGAACCGTGATTTGGTTTCCTCGATATTTAAGCTACCAACGTCATCATAGGCTTCACTACTGCAGCCATCACTTTCTTCTGTCATGCTGTCTAAGTCATCTAATTGTTCATTTGATCTAAAAATTAATATAGTTAAAAATCAAATTTTACAATATTTAGAATTACTAAGATATTTACATACCCAAATTGATTAGCAGTGATTACAAAATCATCTTCTAACATATTGTCAGGATTTTCATAATCAAAATCATCATCCATTGCTGCAACTATGTCTGGATCCAAGTCAAGTCGTAAACCTACAAACATTAAGTTAGACACAACACGATTTAAAGGCTGATACAAATTGAGGACCAAGTCAATAATATTGCATACAAAACATTACATTTAAGAAATTGACAATAAATTTATAGTAATTATTTATTATACTAGGATATTGTACATTTTTACAATTTGTAAAATTAGGATATTCACATTAAGTTAATATTTTCACAATGGTTAAACAGTAAAATTATTTTACATAAATTAAATGTTTAACATTTAAATTAAAAATTCTAGTAAATTTATAATATTAAAATAATGTTCTATAAAATTAATAAAATAAATGAAAATATAGAAATAATAAAATATTATTCATAATATTAGTTGAGTCACTTAGAAACCAAGCCGATAAACTCCACATTTTCAAAAATATTCACTTTTTTAATCTAACCATGCTAAAATTGCTAGAATTAAAAAAAAAAAATTGGAATTTATTGGCTTAGCTTCTAAACACCTCAGTTGATAACAACAGAAAATAACACCCATTAAATTTCTATTTTTTAAAGACATTTAAGTTTAAATACCTGATTGAGGAGCTGCTTTGTTAAGCATTCCAACTTTTTCTTCTACTTCAGATTCAAAAACTGAAGATGGTAACATTACTTTTGGTTTTTTATTCTTTAACATAATGATATATAAAAATAATTAATAATTTTTTATGTATTATTATAAAATAGAATTATTACATTTTCGTTAATATTTGTTGGTGCTGGCAATAAAATAAAATCATTAGATTGACTCTCTTTTAAATGTTGTAAATAATCATAATCATCATCAAAATATATCCCGTATTTAGCTTCTTCTTCTTTGTTTTTTTTCTATTATATAAAAAAAATCTAATACAACAAAAAATTCTATTGAAAAAGTATAAAACTACAAAATATATTTACGCTTTTAGATTGGTATGATTCTTGAGGTACCAATACATGTTGTGGTGCTTTTTCATCAGCCACAAGTGGATCATGTTGACTTCTATGAACAACATGAAAAGTCACAGAATTCTTTTTATCAATAAACTTCTTTTTTGTCTTAGGCTACAAAATATGTATGAGTGTTATTCAATATTACTCAATAATAAAAATCAGGTAATTATTGATATGCATTTCAATAAATATTTCATTTTTTTATCTAGATATTTGATATTAAAACCTATTCAATGAAATTTAGTATGGTACTTGTATAAAACTAATAACATTATACAAAACAAACTTATATAAGATTAAATTTTATTTTATCTTAGATTAATAGTACTTTTTTAATTACCATAATGAGTTATAAAATGATTAAAAATAATATTTATCTTTAAAACCAAACAACAATTTAATTTATATTAGCAATTGTTTGACAAAAATCTCAATTAAGTTAGAAAACAACTCGAATTGTATCATGTCGAATAATCATGCTAATCATGTCAATCCAACTAACCATGCTACATAAAAATATTATTCTATGATAAGACAATTTTACATAAAAATTACATGATTCGTCTACGTTGTGATAATAAGGATTTCGATAAAATATCACAGATAGATGTTACTATATTGATGTTATAAGCGATTTTCTACGACTGGTGTACTTGTCAAGTAAATCAATAATTGTGTACTTGCTATGTCGTCCAGTTATCAACTAATATATCGTTCCCATTATTAGTATAATTGACAAGTATGCTAGTACTTGTACACTTGTACATGTATTAAATAAAAGCCAGTGTACTTGCTATTCTATTCCTACGACTGGATCGAATAACAAATAATTGTATTGGGGATCGAAAATATATTAATTTGCTTTTTTAGTGCTACAGTGTTTCGATATTTTTTAGTTTTTAGTTATATAATTAATTTTTATTTTAAAAACCAGTTTGATTTTTTGCTTTAAATGTTATAAATTATCATTATATAAGGTGTATAAAAAGTACCCTATTATCAACACTTTTTATACACCTCTCGAGTGATGATGATGTGAAAAAAAGGTGGAAAGAATATTTTGAAAAATTACTGAATGAGGAGTATCCAAAAGAGACATTAGTGTATATCTCGTGGAATGCGGGACTGGTAGATTTAATTAATGAGAAAGAGATATGGGAGGCTGTGGCATCAATGAAAAATAATAAAGCAATAGGACCAGATGAGGTGCTAGTAGAAGTATGCAAAATATTAGGCGGTATTGGCATAAGATGGCTGAAGGAACTTTTAAATAAAATCTTATTAGATGGGAAAATTCCAAATGAATGGAGGAATAGTATTGTGGTGCCAATATTTAAAGGTAAAGGAGACTTACTGGAGTGTAATTTTAGAGACATAAAGCTTATGAGTCATAATATGAAAATTTTGGAAAAGGTAATAGATAAGAGAATAAGAAATGAGACATCGGTATCTAAAAACCAATTTGGATTTATGTCTGGTAAGTTAACAATGGAGCCAGTATTTTGTGTGAGACAACTAATAGAAATGTTTACGGAAAAAAAAAAAGCTTTGTATGGTATTTATAGATTTGGAAAAAGCGTATGATAGAATACCGAGAGAGGTGTTAAAGTGGGCATTAATGAGAAAAGGAGTCCCAAAAAGGTACATTAACATGATGAAGAATATGCAGGCCTGTCGATAAGGGGGAGGAAGGATAGGATTCCTCCCAAGCCCGATCTTTTTTAGGAACCCTAAAAACTAGGAACCGTTATTAATTATTTAATTTGAAAAATATTTTCTCAAAAAATTTTTTTGCTTATTTACAAACTTAATCTGACGGTATACTAACCCAATGATATAATAATATATGTATATATTCTGAATTTCCAAGAAAAAGTAACTAATGTAAAATTATTTGTTATCGTGTTATTTGCGTCAATACTCAATGTGTGCTGTATTTACGGTTTTACCTAGTGAATAGTACACGGACAACTCTCTGTGCATTCTGTCTTTGATAGTCACGAGTTAAAACAATTATTGAGAGTTAGGACATCACGATAATATTATAACAACCAATATTAAGTATCGCGTTGCTGTCTGAGTTGGTACTATGTGTTAGAATAAAAAACAAAGTATTCTAATTTCAAACGCGCAATCGTAAACAATTGGATTATGCATAATTTTTAGCACAAAAACCATTGGTAAGAATTATTATTTTTTAATAGTTTTAATGTAAAATAATATAATAAAAAACGAATCTCATGAACGGGACGATTTCTTGACGAAGTTATCGTCAAACGCAGTGGTACAAGCAAATTGATTAGTTTATAATATACACTGTATATTATATAGAGTTAGTAGTAGCATGTGTCGTAACACAGAACTGCAAGTAAAATGTATACGAAGATGAAGAGCATGAGGAGCCTGCTGTCTAGTTTTTCACGTACGTATTGTCGTACAGCAGTCACCGTGCTCGGCTGACACTCCGGGTTAGCTGTGGGTGTTGAAAGGCTGTTGCTATAGAAAGAGAATAAGGGTAACACCTAGGCATGAGGTGCAGACGAAGTGCAAGACATAATTACTGGGCGTACCAAGTGAGGAAAATAACAGAGTACGAGGTGCAGACGAAATGCAAGACACAAGTACTGAAATGTTGTAGAAGAGGGTAGATAGGTTAAGAAGGAAAAAATAAAGACTTTACTTTAAGCAGTAAACCGGACAGAGACAACCGAGTACTGAGACTGATGAATGGCACAAGACACTGGAGTCGACTGATGAAGATGGCCAGGTCTTTTGGGTTTTTATAATAATTTGGACTATTGCCAATTTAGCAATAAATGTTAATTGTTAATTCATCAGTCTCGGGAAGCAGATGTGCTGTCTGTATTTTATTATAATAAATTCTCACAATAATGGTAATGTGACACTATCACACATGACATATTTTCTTAAATCCTCAGTTTTATAGACAAGATCCTATCCATCCAAATTGTAATGCCAGAATGAAAATTTGACCTGCAGATAGTACTACAAAATGTTTTTTTTACATTTATCACTGTTTTTATAATGATTCTAGGGCGTATATTTTCCTCGTGAAATGCGGATTTTATACTGGAAACACCCAATTAACCACCTATATATTTTTATTTGTATTCGATCGGGCTCATTATTACGACTATCTGAGTACTCATTTATCTAGGTACTGCTTGTGTAACACAATGATTTATAAACATAATCAGTATGATTATTGCATAAATAAAATACTTCATAACAGACAATTTTCGTAAAGTTCTTTTTTTTATTTTATTTTTTTAATTACTCTTTGAAAAATATTTTAATTATAAAAACTTTTTTTCATTACTTAAAATTACCCATCTTTTAATATTTTAGTATTTATATTATATATTATAATAATAGGAATAATTTCAAGCTAAATTTAAACCAAGCTAATAGAAATGTATTATTCACATAAATCTAGTTGTCAAAAGCGTAAAGAACGTGTAGAATGAGAAGAAACATTTTTAAAATTTCAAAAAGACCAATCAACTCTTACTTCCTTTAAATTCTGTGCAAAAGAAAAGCCTACTCAGATTACTTAGAGTATAGAAATGAAAACTCAAATACTTTCAAATGATTCTGAAAATAAAAAAAATATTCCGACTAATAATAATAATGTTACTAACGATCTCACAAAAAATATAATTAATCCTGTATTAACTGATTCAATTTTAAAACATCCTGCTGTAGAAGAATCTGATACCGTAATCGTATATTATATATAATCAAGTAAAAGTTTACTACTATAGTAGTAAACTTGAATGTTTATCATAAGTAAGTGGAAATATTATTTGTTCAGGAAAACAATCAAATTTTCAATCTTTATAATTACGATATTGGTACTTTAAAAACCGAGATATTGCAAACACATTTAATTGAAAAAGTTATTCGTCAAGGTCATCAAAAAATGCCAGCGTCTTTTCCTCATGATCTACTGAACGATCCGTTTCCATTATCATTGCTTTCTAAAACTGCCAAATGGCAAAAAAGTAAAACGCGAATTGTTAGTTTGGAGTCGTTTTAAAAATGCTTTACGGTTTTCCTTGCCGCTTGTTCAAAACAAGCACATTAAATTTTTAGAAAGATGCTCCAACGGCCCGAGTACCTCATCGTTACTCGGGTCGCCTTGGATGAGGCGGCTTCTAACCCGTGTTGAAAAAAAAAATTTGACCTCTGGATTTGTCTTCATGGTAAAAATGACTACCGTATTCAAAAATTTGCTATTTTTGTGTTAAAATTCTGGGTTTTGTATTTTATTTTATTTTAAAATACCTGACTAGGGGAGTACAGATTTTCATAAATATTATATAAATTAAAATTAATATAGCATAGAAAGTTAAACTTATTTAAATTTGTTTGCTTCTTTTAAGTCGAGAAAAATATCTTTGAAATTTGAACTAGCTTAAATAGCCAATTTTTCAACCGCCGGAAGCAACGTACGGTTGCCGAGTTGGTAAAATTTATGTTTTACACGCTTGGGGTACGAGGTTCCAACCCGCATATGGCAATGAATTTTTTGCATTTTTTCTTAATTCTTTTTAAGTTAGTATAAATTTTAACTCGTTTGATTTTTATCACATTTAGATTCAATAACTTCAATAAAGATCAAGGATCCCATCACTTTAGTCGCCCCTTGCAAGAAGAAATTTCTTATTCGTATTAAAATTATTTTACTATATTTTAAGTTTTCGCTTCGATGCAAAGCCGAGAAGATATTTTTTTGTGACTATCATTTATTTTCTCTGCTCTAACTTGACCTACTTTTTTCAACAATACGTCAAATTACTACAATTCGTATCTAGTTGAAGATATTACTCTCAAAAATTGAAAAAAAAATTCTAATTTATCAATTAAACAGTTAGTTATTACATCGTCTCCATAAAGACAATTAAAATCATTAATTTCTAATGTTTTCAAAATATTTATTAACGAATGAAGTTTGATATGATAGGTTTCAACTACAAAATTAAATCATTTTACTTTGTAATTTAATAATTTTTTTACTCTATTTGTGTGTGCTACTACTAGACTATAATATTACAATTTTTTTTTGTAACATGTTGCTATATAAATCATTTCTAAAAAAAATGATTGTTTTTTCTCCTGAATTAACAATTGATTTTTACAAATATAATCAAATTTTATAATACACTCAATTGAGTAAATCTTTTTAACAACTTTGTTTTGATTGGTACATTTAGTTAAAGTAAATCATTAAAATTAATTAAGTTCTCAATATTTCAATTATAGAATCTTTTCAACAAACAACAAAAGTTCCTAGGAAATTATTACTATTACTTCTATTTAAGTTATCTATTACCATAAAAATGCAAAAAAATATTGAGCTTTTCTGATAAATTTACAATAAATAGTAATTATAAAACTTTCTGACTGCATATTGATCTTAACGATACAATTTTTTTAATTGTCATAAAATTTTCTATTTAATTATGTCAATGTCAAACTTACCAATTGAGCTAAAAGTTATGGTAAAATAAATTTTTTTTTTTTATTATAAACATTTACAACAATCAACTTTAAACGATTAACAAAATAGGTTAAATATGTCATTTTCCTTATTTTTAACTTATTAATAATCAAATTAATATTAAATATTATATCAAATCAGTATTAATTTAAAACAATTTTTTTTGTTCTTAATTATTTTTTTTTATATGTAAAAACTATTTTTTAATAATATTAAAACTTAGAAGTTATAGAAAAAGTCTAATTGCACATTTTAAAACATCGCGAAAAGTTGATTTAGAATAGTATATTTTTGTTTCTGATGGAAGTTCCTTGTAGTCCAGTGTATAAAACTTATAACTTTGTTAATTGTTATAACTTTATCAAAAATGACCAAATCAGTATATTTTTTTTTATTTAGATGCATGTCTTTATCTATCATTTTGTTTTTTTTATAAATCTAACCCTTTACCTGCCCACAAGAGGGATTCAAAATATTAACTTTTTTTTTTTTAGTTAAAGTAAATCATTAAAATTAATTCAGTTCTGGATATTTCAATAGTAGAATCTTTTTAAATATCAAAAATTACTTAGAAGTGATTACTATGATCAGGGCCGGATTTAGACTTTTGGATGCCCAGGGCAAATTTTTTTTTGAGGTCCCTAACAGTAAAATAATAAAAAAATACTCACTATCGAAGTAGTTAAAGATAAAAAATTTTAAATTTCCAAACTTGCACTTTATAACTATCTACCTAAAACGTGTTTAATTCAAGTTTGAAACACTGCTGTTTTGTAACACAAATTTCAAAATTTGACTATGATTTCTATTTAAGTGTTCTATTACGATAAAAATGCAAAAATATAATGAGTTTTTCTGATAAATATACTGTAAATAGTAATTATAAAATTTCCTGACTGCATATTAATCTTAAAAATAACATTGTTTTAATTCTCATAAAATTTTCTATTTAATGATTCATTCTAGTCAACGAAGGAGTAATTTTGCAGAATAGCAGAAAAAATTCCCAACAAACTTTTTTTTTTTTTGTTTTAATTAGGCAATTGGTGGATTATTCCAAAAGCAACATCAACTCTTATTTCTTTAATTATATCATGATTAGTAGTTCTTTGATTTTAAAATATAATATTTGAATATATACTAATTATAATTATTAAATTTAGTATGAAATTGATATTTAATATTGTAATTTAAACGGAGAAATTATAAAAATAATAAAGAAGTTATATTTTGCTTTACTTTTACGTGTATAAAAATTTAAAGGGCTTGATACAATAATTTTCAATAAAAACTGTTTGTTACTATAAAAAAATGCACTGGACTACAAGGAACTTTCATCAGAAGCAAAAATATACTTTTCTAAATCAACTTTTCGCGTTGTTTTCAAATCTGCAAGTAGACTATTTCTATCACTTCTAATTTTTTATATTATTACTAATTATATATATAAAATAATAATTAAAAGAAAAAAAAATTTGTTTTCAAATTATTACTGATTTGATTTTTAATATGTTAAAAATAATCAGTCCAAATTTTCAATTTTAACCTATTTTTTTGGTTCTTTAAAGTTGATGAAAAATTTTTGATAAAGATTTATGAAAGTTTATAGTAAAATAAATTGAATATATTACCATAACTTTTAGCTCAATTACAAGTTTAAAATTGACATCTAGGCCAGTCAACAAAGGAAAAATTGCGGAAAAAATTTTGTTTTTTTAAAAGTTGAATTAAAATATGTATAATGACATACTAATAGTCCTCAAGATTGGAATTGAGCTTTTTTTTTAAAGCCTCGCAAAAGTTCAAAAATATGAGCTTTCTTAATTTTCTCAAAAAAAAATATTTAACTTACAAAAAAAAGTTTCGCACAAAAGTTGTTTAAAAGACAATTATAAATAAAAATATAATCTTATATTTTTTCATTTAAACAAATATTTTTCGAGTTACATTACATTTAATATGAGTAATAAAATTTATATTCCATTTTTTTCATTTTACGGTTACTTTTTATCATGTTATACTTACATTAGACACAATGTTATAAATGCATATGTGTGTATGTGTGAGTTTATTTATTTATTGTATCATTAAAGTGTAGTGTATATTGAGATACAACCGATAGAGTAGGTAATTGATTTGACGCTATATTATTTAAACCCAACTAAACGCTAAATTGTACATTCCGAAATAACAATCATATTATGTCAATTGCCACCGGAATATCTGGTAATATTTTTCTTTTTCTTTGCCTTAATCCCAACTACTTGGGGTCGGGCACCCTTATCCTAAGATTCCACTTGACACGATCTCCCACATCTTCTACGCTCACATCAGCTGTCCTCAAATCGCATTCAATAGCATCCCTCCATCTCTTTTTTGGTCTTCCTCTATCTCTTCTTCCTTCAACATTCATTTCTATAACTGTTCTTACAGCTTTCGATTCTTCTTTCCTCATACCATGACTAAACAATCTAAGTCTATTTTCTGTCATCTTATCCACGATTGACGCAACACCTATACTTCCTCTTATATGCTCGTTCCTTATCCTATCTTCTCTAGTCACTCCACTCATCCAACTAAGCATTCTCATCTCTGCTACACTTATTCTCTGCTCTACTTTCTTATCAACCGCCCAACACTATTAACCATACATCATAGCTGGCCTCACAATTTCATACTAAATTTAAAAACTATAATTAGTATTTATTCATATATTATATTTTAAAATCAAAGAACTACTAATCAGGATATAATTAAAGAAATAAGAGTTCATGTTGCTTTTAAAATATTTCACCAATTTCTCTAAAGGAAACACTATCTACAGATTTGCATCGAAGCGTTTCTTTTGATAGTGATTTTAATCACTGTCAGATATCATCTATACTTGTCCCATCTATGCCTCGTCAACACTGTGCCTCGACCCCACTGTGCTACCGTTTTTTTTAGTTTAGGACTATGTAAAAATTTTATTTTTATTATTTGTCTAATAAGAAAATAAAATTAAAATTAAAAAATAAGAAAAATCATAAATCTTTTGTTTTTTAAAAACTTTCAAAATAGACTTTATTAATTCTTTTTTTACAAAAACATTGTTTTATTGACAACAATTTTAGAATAATTACTTTTTGAGTTACAATCATTTTAATAAAATGAGTATTTAGTTTAAATGTAGTGCTTGTGTCTCAATAATTATCCTAAAGTTGTTGAACCATGAGAATTTTTTTGAATAAGAACAAGACTAAAGAATGACTATTTTGAAATTTAAAAATAAAAATATTAATTTATTTTTCTTGTTAGTGACAAATAATACAAAATATACTTTTAATGAAGTACAAATCTAAAACTTGTTAAAAAAAAAATAGTACACTAAATATTCACTAGAACAAAAGTTATTAAAGATATCAGAACTCGGTGAACACAATATATTCGTAATTAACAAATTAGAAAAACAACTACAATATTTTATAAACTACAAACTTATCTGCTTTTTTTTTACTATTTTAGACTAGAAAAAATTGCTCAAGCAAATCGTACACGAATAGTTTTGGAAGCTGAAGCTGAAGCTGAATCGATTAGGCTTAAAGGTGAAGCAGAGTCATTTGCTATTCAAGCTAAAGCAAAAGCTGATGCTGAACAAGCTATGAAAAAAGCAGATGCTTGGAGAGAGTACAAAAAAGCAGCAATTATTGATATGGTTTTACAAACATTGCCAAAGGTATTTTATTATTAAATTTTATGTTTTATAATGTTGAAAATAAATAATTATTATTATAAATTTAGGCTCAAATATTTCTGTGTTGTTGAAGAGATGAAATTAAAATAGACTAAAATGAAAATAAAAAAAAAAATTTTTTTTCAAATATTTATTTGTTTTAGCTTGCTGCCGAAGTTGCTGCTCCGTTTGATAATACCAAAAAAGTGACCATGGTAGCTAGTGGTGATGGTGATGTAGGAGCTGTTAGATTGACGAATGAAGTAATTCAAATTGTCAACAGAGTACCTGAAATGGTTACCACCTTGACAGGAGTTAAAATAAATGATGTTATGTAAGTTTTTATAATAAATGATGGACTAAAATTATAAAATTTTAGCATTCAATTTTTTTTATTTACAGGAATATGTAAGGAAGTTACTGACTATTTAAACATATTTTAGGTTATATACATACAGATAAAATAATTTTATTTGTTTATAATTTCAAGCAAAGAAAAATTGAATATTTTTTACCTATATATTTAATTTATCTTAAGTATATGATTATATTTATCTTATTATTTCCTGTACAATTTGTCTATTCATCATTTGCATTCTAGCCACTTTTTATAACATTTCTGTTTATAATTTTTTTTTATTTTTGCTTTTATTAATAATTAAATACTAATGTGTGTTATATTGTTTATTTTTTACTTATTTGCGCTAAACCAAATATATATGTATGCCTTAAACATAAAACATATTAATATTTATTTATTTTTTATTAATAAGTCAATTTATTTTTACTAAAAATAACAAAAACATAAGCTTAAAAAAAACTAATATATTATTAAAATTTTGAAAATTAGAACAAATAAACTATTATTCTTATTTTAAATATACATTTACTATTGTTGTTTTTACCATCATATTATATCTTATTCAATCAATAAATAAAAATGTATTATAATTTTTAATTTATTAAATCACACAAAGAAAAGATAATGATCAGATGTATAAATTTAAGTAGCGTGGAATAAATTTATTTAAAATAGAGTAAAGAGAAATATTTTTATTCCATTTGTAAGTTTAATTCAAGAAAGCGATTTTTGCTAAACTTATTTTTATAATCATTAATTATTTTGGTGTAATAATTTAAAAATTGCGTGAATAAAGCCAAAGCAAAAATATGTAAAATTATTGATAAAATTTTTTTATATAATTCTCCAGTGATGGAAAAGTAATATTGTTCTTATGAACTTTTTCATTTTTAATGAACTATACACAAACAAGTTCAAACTTTAGAAATTGTACTTTAACATAAACTCAGTTCTTATTTTATGTAAAGATTTTTGGTTTGTACATTGCAATGTTCACTTGACTGGATTCTACCAATGAGTATATAAAAATAAATGTCTAGAATTTAAAATCAATTTTGATTTTAAATTAATTTTTAAGAAATAGTATACAAGTTGTGTTCAGAATATAACGGGAATATACGTTTTTTGAAATAATAATTGTTTATTCGTCATTTGTCGTTTTTTATTCATTATTTAATATTAATATTGTCACATATAAAAAAGTCCCCATTAGATATTATGCACTTGTGCCAATGCTTCTTCCAATCTTCGAAACACTTCTCAAACATGACCTTTAGAATAGCCTTCAGTTCACCAGTGATGCGCATTTAATGTCATCTATGCTTGAAAAACAACTGACTTTTAATGTTCTCTTTTATTTTTGGAAATAGAAAAAAATCACACGGAGCCATGTCTTATGAATATGGAGGGCATCGTTACAGTATTGTTTTTGGCCAAAAATTCACGAACAAGTAATGAAATGAGAGCATGTGCATTATCGTGGTTTATTAGCCATAATTTATTTTGTCACAAATCCGGCAAAAATAAAAATAAAAAAATCATATTTTTGATTCTAATAAAAGTTCCTTGTAGTCCAGTATATTTACTCATAAGTAACATTTTTTTTTTGCTTAGTATTGTACTAAGCTCTAAATTTTTATACACGTTAAAATATTTGAAATGTATATTTTTTCTGTACAATCGAAGGAGATAATCCCTCCAAGATCCTAAAATGCAACAATGCTTGTCAAGCACAATAATTGTTTTACAAAAAATTTATAATTTCTTAATTATTTTAATTTTAACATTAATTTTAAAAGGAAAATTCACTGCAATAAACTTGATCTAATTAACTTTTAAGAGCTTTCCTGTTACAGGATTTCTCATTGAAAATAGGCCCAAAAATATAATCTTTCACTAATTATACTACCTAATATTAAAATCATAGAAATATAGTACTTATCGTATTAATGCTTAACACAAAAAGTAGCACATAATTCCAATTATACCATTTATGGTTATATTCTTTGCATAATTTGAATAAAAAACTAAGTTAAACGCAGAACTTGGAAGATTTCAATTTTTTTTATTCAAAGCACACATATTGTTAAAGAAAAAAGGTATTATGACATAAATTATTATTATGGCACATTAAATCAAAAAATAATAAAATAGTACAGTTAAGTCNATTGTTAAAGAAAAAAGGTATTATGACATAAATTATTATTATGGCACATTAAATCAAAAAATAATAAAATAGTACAGTTAAGTCAAAATTATTGCAAATATCAACAAAAAAAGTGTAATAAATTTTATTTTCATTTATAAAATGAACACTAAATATTTTATAATAACTATTATATGTAATACAATGGTACTAGAAATTATGCAATCAATACTTTTCTTTCAGGGTTTTTCATAATTTTTATACTATTTTTTCCAACTCCTTTGCCTAAAAATTTAAAAAAATTTAATGAATAAATTACATCATTTATTTATTTAATAAATAGATAAAAATAACATCTATTTAAGATGTAATTCAAACATTGACTGGAAATTACAATTTATATTTTATAACAAATATTAAAATGACAATTACCAAATAACTTGCTGTGATAGTCTTTTTGTTATAGACTTACACTTTATAGTGAATCAGAACTTTATTTAAAAAAATAAAATTATTTTTAATAATTAATTAAAAAAATATTATAAAAAAGAAGGCAATAAAAATGTTTTGATACAAATTTGATATATTATTTTGTTTTAGAAATGTTTTAGATTACTGGATTTATAACAAAATATGATAGTTTTTAAAAACAAATTATGATAAATATCCTAGTACGTCACTAACTTAATTCTATTATATTTGAGCACAAATAAATTTCATATGAGTGTATAAAATATGAGATATGTATTTTAACTTAAAATTTCAAATTAAATAATCTGTTAAATGTAAATAAAAAGCAAATCTGACTTTAATAGTATAAAAAAAGAGATAATTAATGACATTTCTAATGCCATATGCACAAATTTGTAACATAAAAATTACAATTTTCCTGCATATACACTTAATTAGATTGTTAAATTCTGTATCTTTTGGTTATACTTAATTTACAAATAAAATCAATCATGAAACATTCAAAATATAATCAATATATTAAGTAATACTTAAATTTTGAACTAATTATTTATTTGTATACAGTCACATTTATACTTAGCACAAGAATATAGAATAAAATTTATAAATATAAGTATTAGTTCTTTTTTTAATAAAAGTTAACTCAATTATGTATTTTCAGTTATTAATTTTTAAAAATAAATGAGGTAATTTTACTTTAAATCATTAATTTTATTATAAATACTTCATTTATAAACCTTATAAAAATTTATTAATGATCATTATAAATTATTAATTACCTATTATTATTGGAGTTTCATATTAAATTTATTATCAATTAATTATTAGTATTACTATTATTAATTAATGTTATTATATATTAAAAAATCAGTATAATTGGAAATCAACTTTAAATTCTTTAAAACTAAAAATATTTTAATATTAAAAAAAAATAGTATTTATAAACAAAGAAACATTTTCAGTCTTTAATTATCTAAATAATAGTACTTAAAATTTATCAATGAATATATATATTTTTTTAATAAACTAAATAGGATTGTTACCATTTAAATATTATTTTATTCAAATATATTAATAATTTTAATATTAGATATAATCCTTACAAATTGTTAACCAAAGTTAAAATTTTCATTGATAAAAATATGCTACTTTTTATAATTTATAAAATAAGCTACGATCATAACACCACCACTCAGAGCTAGAACTCCAAGTCCTAAACTTTTCAATGGTTTAAGCCAAGACCTTTTGATTTTTTCCCAATATTCTTGCTCTTTTTGTTTCCTTTTCATAAGCTTTAATTTTTCTGCTAGCGCTCTGGTTTTTTCTGCATCTCCATCAACTTTTAATTTGCTATCATCATTGGTACAATTCAATTTGTTACATCTATAAGATAAATTATTTTAATTAATAATAATATAAATTAATACAATTAATTGTATAAAAGTCATTATACGAAGATTACTTATTGTTTTTTGATAGATCAAGTTCTCTAGGAGGAGGTAAAGGTGGTGGAGTTGATTCAGTATCATCACTTTCTGATTCAGAAACTAATGATTCTTCATCATCAGAATCATTTTCATGAGCTTTATTTAGTGATTCTGTACGTGGTGGAGGAAGTGGAGGTGCTTCATTGCTTAATTCACTATCACTACTTTCATTACCAGACCCATTATCATTAGCTAATAATACACCATCTAAACTAGGTAGCTCATCCTAAAAAAAAAAATAATAATAAATAAATGGTTGTGTTAAAAAATAGTACACTTAATATCATGAAAATACCTCATTATCAGCATCCCAATTAGTATCAAGAGCTTCAATTATGCTTTGATAACCAAACCGTAATTGTTCAGGGGCTTGCACTAGTCCCATTCGACATTTTCTCATTTCTACCAATAATGATCGTATATGTACATATTTAAGACCATCAAGTGTTTTCATCTACAAATGTAATTAATATTTATTTTATTATTATTATTTAATTATTAATATTATTATTAATAATTATTAATAGCCAAATAAAATAAAACTTTGTATTAGGATTACCTGTACAAGACAAATGTCTATCAAACAAAACGTTCCTGAACGNCAAATGTCTATCAAACAAAACGTTCCTGAACGACCAATTCCAGCAGAACAGTGAACAACAGTTGGTCCATAAGATGTTTCAAGAGCACCACTACGCCTAATATCTCTCAAAAAACGCAAAAAAGGTGTAGGTGTTTTAGGTACACCAAAATCTGGCCAATCAGTATAATGAAAGTGTAATATTTCTCTAAAATCTCCTGACTCCAAGTCATTAAGTCTAAATATTTAATATTAAAATAGTTATTTAATACAAATATAAAGCAAAAAGTAAGTTAACAATATGATGTATTAATTTACTTCAAAATACTTTGGATATAAAATCCATGATTTATTTTTGTTATGAATTCTACAGATAAACCAATATCATTCCAAATAAATTTATAATTTTCTTTTTTCTTTTTTGGCCAATATTGGTGGCATTTTAGCTATATTCAAAAACCATAATACATAATACATAATGATATTACAGAAATAAATTCATTTTTTACCTTTTTCTTTTCTATAACTTTATTTAACATTATTATAGCTTTTGAATTTTGTTCCCACACCATAAGCCAAAAATGAGAAGTTGTATTTTCTAATGGACCTTGTGTAAGTATATATTTTCTATCACAATCACAAACCTAGAAGTGACATTTTATTAAACATTACATCAACACCAAAATTTTTTTTATAAAAATATTAACAATAATAATTGAATGGTACTGGGAAAAAACAGTAATTGTCTATTTCTGTAAATTTTTCAATAGGCCAAAAATAAATTTATAAGTTCCTATTATTATGATATGTTACATTTTGAAATGGGTACTATTCCAGCAAATAATTACTCCAGGCAATAAAATAATGTAATTTTTAACAATTTTTTAAAAATCTTAGATTAAAAAAAAGGTCACTTTAAAAACATCCATCAGACTTTTTTGGTTTAAATCCAGATAATTTTATATGCAGAATAAAAAAAACCGGAGTTATATTTTGTAAATTTACTATGGACATAAAAAAAAAAACTATTCTTTTAGTTTTGGAAAATGTTATGGTTTAAATTATAGAAGTATGTCATTTTTATTCAAATCAATTTTTTAATTATAAAAATTAAAAAAAAAAACACCATATTTTAGTACCATTGCAGAGCTTAGATATCATTGATTTAACCATAATATGTTAATTTATTTAATGTATGTACACAATAAAAAAAAAAATTACTGATATTGGATTTTTTCTAATAAAATCCTAATAAGGTTAAATAGTTAAAAAAAAATTCTGTGGTTTTATGGGCTTTTTTTAAATATAACTTAAAAACGCTCGTTTTACATCAACCCTGAAAATTCTGCATCTTTTAACGATATATAAACAAATTAAAACTTATAAAGTGTTCTTTTGAAAAAAGAAAAATTCAGATATCATAGTGTATCCAAAATTAAGTAAGCTATTTGCTAACAATTTTTTATCAAATTGTTTAATGATTGTCAATTTAACCACCACCAGATTTCAATTTATACTGGTGCTTACATTGTGGGTTCTGACATCTTTGTTATTTTTTCTTTTTTCATTCTACATTATATTATTAAAATAAAACATTATTAAGCTACTAAATTAAATTTTCATATTATTACTTATAAGTAAAATGAATATTGCACTTACTTGAAGGAGATTTGCATTAATGTATGAAACATTGCCTTTTTTAAGAGATATAATAGTATCATCGTAAGGAGAAACATCTTGATATCTATTTAAGATTTTATTTGGAACTTTCTTTGCTTCATCTGAGGTTTTTCTAATTTTTAAGCTCTCCGTTTCTACAAACTATTTTAAAATATATTTAACATTTGTTTAGTAAAATATTTTAGATTATTGTAAAAACTTCTCACATTCGATAAATGAGATAATGACAAAACATTATTGAATCTCTAGTTGGCTACCAACATTGATAATTAAAAAAATGAATAGAATTAACTATACTAAAATGTATACAAATTGAAAATATTAAACTACACATTTCAGAACTTAAATATTTCTTGTAATGTAACCATTGTGCCTACCAAAACATATTTTAATAGATAAATAAATAAATATTTTTGAAAAATATCTTTTTTTTGTTATATTAAATATAATAATTTAATTTAAGTATATAATTTTTATACAAAATCTAATAACTAACCAAATTCTAGAATTATATATAAATTTTTCTATGTAAATACATACAGTTACCAAGTTATAAAAAATAAAAATAAATATATTTAAAACATTGATTTTTAATTTTCAAAATGAATAACAATAATTATATATCTAGTCAATCATTTAGATTTTTATAATTCAAAATTAATTTGACTTTGAAGAATTAATATAAACAACATATTGATTAAACTGAAAATAAAAAACTTACTCTAAATGTTGTATTCCACATATTTTTGCTTTCAATTTCTTTAAACTCATCTAGCAATCTATCTTTAATTTTTTGATCAGACTGCATTGTGAAATGTTTAGTATGCAAACTCAAATACTCAGATTTTGGTAATAAAAATATCAATAATATTTATTGTAAGTATTACTAGAATATAACAAAATTGATTGCGATTAAAATTAACTAAAATATAATTTACTTTTATCTTAAATAATAAATTGCATAACTATTCTATTTACTAAGAAAAATAATCAATTAATTGAAACTTGCTAACAAATTAATATTTTACGAGACCGTGTTATCATTGACACCGACTGACTAACTCACATTACGTCCACAAATGTTATCTATTGTTTTTTTATGATCAAACATGGTTACTGGTAATGACGCATACTTCGGTTTACAGCCATAAAGCTAAATTGTAACGCGGGCTATCTGAAATGATAATTTTTCATTCATTTTTATTGAGCTATTTACACTAAAGATTAAGGACAAAGTATAGAATGGGTTTAATGGTTCACATCCCCTTCATTAAAGAATTATTTACACGTAATCAAATTAAATAAAAAATAATAGATTGAGGATTATACGTTCAATCACTATTCATCAGTGTCTTAGATAAACCATAGCTCTTTATTGATAGCAATACTAATTTCTAAAATGAAATTAAAAAACAAAAAAGGTTCAAATTATGGAAATAACATAATTTTTCATTTAAAAATGTTTTTAAATATTATAATATAAGATTGAAATATTATTTAGATACTAAGTTATATACATTTTATTTTTTATGGACTATTTAATTTAAATATTATTAGGTAAAAAGACTAAAATTTTATTCAAAAACACAGAAACATAATTTACATTTTAATTAAACTTACTTAATAATTTTGATACACAGAAACTATAAATTTTTTTTCTTTGCTTCCCACCCCTTCACGACTTAACTGTACTATTTTATTATTTTTTGATTTAATGTGCCATAATAATAATTTATGTCATAATACCTTTTTTCTTTAAC